ATCTATGTAAATATGATTGAATGCTTGGTCTATAAACACTTCAAATTTGTTTCATAGAGATAATCGATTTTAGTCAAGGGAATAAAGAACATTTAAAAAAGAAAAACACTTGATGTAGATTTCAAAAATTATTTTTCATCAATTTGAATTTTATTAAATTGAATTTATAATTAATTCAACATTCTGGATAGAACGATTATTTGTTACTAGGCATATTTTTGCTCTTTACAAACTAAATAACACCATAAAAATAGTTGAAAACGTTAGTCAATAGAAGCTAGAGCATTAGGAAAAACCGGAAAGCACTGGACGGCCGTTTCGTCCTCTTCAAAGGGACTCCTCAGAATCATGGATGCTGTCCCAGTGGTCTATTGGTCAAGTGCTCTGGCGCGAGACTGGTAGGTTCTGAGTTCGAATCTCGCGAGGCGGGATCGTGGATACACACTGCTGAAAAGTCCCACAATAAAACGAAACAGCCGTCCAGTGCTTCTAGATTTTCCATGATGGTCTATCTTCAATTGACTCATGATTTCAACTATATATAAAAATTTAAGGGACGTTTAATTAAACAATCGTAATTTATTTATTAAACAGTTTTATCCATAGTATTCAAAAAGATGTATTCCTCCTGAAAGTGTTAACTTTGGTGAGGTCTACTTGGAAAATGTCTGAATTGATTTAGTAAGTTAACAAGGTTTTCATAGATTAATCACCATAAATTTTAAATAACCTGAGCTTAAAAAATAACAATGTGAATGAACTCAGTTAAAGTGAAATGATTTAAAACATTTTTCAATCAATAAACTATTAACATGTGGTTTAATTGTCGAATTTTCCATCCTGAGAACGGATGTAAGTGTGTATTGATGAAAATTCTAAAAGTAGGTCAAACACAAACATGTAATAGATTGTGATGTACTGTGTTTTCCGTATGGGAGTTTTCGTAGAGACAGTTAAAGTTTTTTGGTTTCCATAATACTCTGGCTGTATATTAATAATTAATGAGAACTACAAAGCACAAAAGAGGTGTAACATTAATAACATGGGACCTCTCAGCAACAACATTATCATGGATGTATACTTCAAAGTAGTCTCAAAATAAGACGAAACAGCTATTCAGTACTTCTTGGATCTTAATGGTTACCTGGGTGTTATTAGTATATAGTGTAAAATGTGAAACCTCATAAGAAGTTACAATTGTTTTAACTGGGAACTCATTCTATACCGTGAAAAAGTCACTGGGAAAGTTCATCACTATAAATTTGTATTATAACTAAGTACAATTGTCAAAGGGTAGTCATAAAGATAAACAAGAAATCTTTTTGAATAACATATATATTGACTTTACTATTGCAGTGAACAAGAAGACACGGAAATTATAGTCTATCTCACAACCATACAGTAAACAGTTAATTTGCAAAATAACAATCAAGTTTCAATCTTTACCGTTCTTTCCCTAAATATCAGTCCATCTTCTCTAATTTCATTGTTTCTGCATTTTCATACCAATTGTGTTTCGTTCCGGTTCTTTCCTTATCGATCTTTTAGTGAAATACATTCTATTCCTGAACATTGTTATATACTACTTATGTGGATATAAGCAACCTACACCACACTATCATTTAATCATTAAGTCATAACGTATCATATTTCAATTCTCGTTATACAAATAAACTTTTTGTCATTAATATTAGAGAATTACACTCTTTATTCTTTCCTAAGTAATGAGCATACACAAACAGATATAATGATATAATGATATAATGATAACAAACATATTGTGATGTATTTTTCAAAGTTGAAATCATGAGTCAATTGAAGCTAGACCACCATCGAAAACCTGGAAGCACCGGACGACCGTTTCGTCCTATTATGGGACTCCTCAGTAGTGTGCACTCACGAACCCGCTCTCGCGAGCTTCGAACCCAAGACCTACCAGTCTCGAGCCAGAGCCCTTAACCGATAGACCCCTGAGTTGGTTGGCATCCAGCGGTGTTAATGTCTAACTTCAACTGACCCACAAAGTCGAGCAACCGTTCACCAATTGTCTTCAGTGAGTTCCTATCTCACAACAGACATGGTTGAACTCCACTGGTCACTGCTTCCCACTAGAACTCCAGGACATGTATCTTGAAGTCAGTCACTAGTGAGCATATGATTATATTTAGAAGGGGATTTGTGGAGATTTCAGTATTTTTCAAAGTTTAAATCATGAGTCAAACGAAACCAATGCTTCCAGGTTTTCGATGGTAGTTTAGCTTCAATTGACTCATGATTTAAACTTTGAAAAATACTGAAATCTCCACAAATCCCCTTCTAAATATTGTGATGTAGTTTAAAATATAAAAGACTGAAAATAGAAAGATTAAAATATATATCCGTACGTTTGAACACCGATTACCATGACGCACAGTGCTGACGACTGTTGGAAGCGATTGGAAGAGAGTTAGGGGCAGCCAAAACAAAACGTGGCATCAGTACTTGAAGTAACTAACCTCTAGTCTGAGCCACGTTGGTAGATGCAGACTACTTGGTTAGGGTCAGCGTGACTATCGTAACCAATGGTTGGAGATTCTGGGTGACATAGCTGAGAATTGGTTACAATGGCGTAGGTGTATACGCTCTCTATCATCCCTTAAACCTTGAGATTAAAATGGCCTCATATCTGTCTTTTTTCATGTACTATATTCTTATATACAATCTTTTTCTACATACAACCACCACTAGATTACCTACTTCTATGAATTTGGTGTTCATATTGTTGTGTTAATGAAGTATGGCAACTTGGACCGATTCATATATATGTGCCTGGTCCTACGTTGTAGCTGACAGACTGATACTAGAAAATATTTGTTAGTCATATTTTTCTTATTAAAGAGGCTTATCACTTTCATTTGATGTACATTTTAATGAAGGGGTATATATTTTAATACAATTAAAATGCAATAACTTAATGAAACTCAATAGGTTAGTTAATTAAAGTTTTTAATTAATATAAATATCAATACTATAACTTTAGTATAAACGTTAGGGAAACTTTTCTATCCTTATTTACCTAATGTATAAACTAATCAACTATTCATTACAGTTTTCATAGAAACAATGTTCTATGAAAGAAACTGCATACAATGTGATACATCAAAGATAGGATACCGTTTGATGCACATGGTAACTATTAACTTGTACGAACACATTATGTAGCATAACCTTACCGATGGAACAAAGATGATGCATTCTAGAGGGAAATTTAGTATCCTAACTGATATGAATGTCTGAAAATAATTAGCGATTAAGTTGATGGATTGATTTGAAAATGTTGCCACGATAATTCAAAGCATATAGGTGTAGTCAAATTAAACAAGAAACAATATCCTATCAGAGGTGTTAAGTAAAAATCACAATTTATTTATATTTGAATAAGTTTATTCATAGAAGTTATTAGATTCCAATAAGTATTTGGAACTCAATAGGAGAACTGTTCAACTGATATCGGTTTATAGTTCAATTTATCATCGAATGCTATCGAATTCGTGAAATTCGACATTTGGCATTACAACAGACAACAAATCATTAGTAAGACTGAAAATATAGTCAACGAGAATACAGGCGTGGATAACGGAATATATTTGAATACAACATTATAGAATATCTAGTCAAAACCTAACAACCATACAGTGAATACTACTATTTCACTGCAAGGTAGTACATGGAAGACAGTTGACAGATGTATTTACAGTACGGACTGGAGTCAGAAAAACTGTCTACTCTTCCCCTTCCTCCTTCTTCTGCTGGTTGACTAGATTATGAAGATCTCGACATCTGGCGGGAGTCACGGAATATAATGAACATCTCAGAACCAATTATACCATTTGGACTTCAAAGATGGCTCAGCCCTCTTATCTAATACATACGAGCAAGTACAGACGAAGACAACTAATGTAGAAGCAGTAACCTCTACATAAAACGGCCTCAAAATACACAAAGGAAAAAGCAGGATTCTCAAATACAACACGAAGAACACCAACCCAATCACAACTGATGGTGAAACTCTTGAAAAGGTGGAAACATTCACGAATCTGAGAAGCAGCATCATTGATAAAGAAGGAAGATCTGGTGTAGATGTAGAGGCGAGGATTGGCAAAGCAAAGACCACATTTCTTCAATTGAAAAACACATGGAACTCAAAAAAATGCCAATTTACTTCAAATTGATAATCTTCAGTGCGAACGTCAAGACAGTCAGTTCTACTGTACGAAGCTGAAACGTGGAGAAATACTACATCCATCGTCAAGAATGTACAAGTATTTACAAACAGTTGTTTACACAAAATACTCAACATTCCCTAGCCTGATACTATCAGCAACAGCGTTTTATGGGAGAGGACTAATCAGCTTCCAGCTGAAGAGGAAATTAGGGAAAGACGTTGGAAGTGAATCGGACATATGTTGAGGGAATCACCGAACACCATCACGAGGCAAGCCCTAACGTGGAATCCGGAAGGGATACAGAAGAGTTGAATTTCAATGACTATCCTGCGTCGGAAATTGGAAGCAAATATGAAAACAATGAATATTCACTAGAAAGGACTGCGAAGGATTGTCCAGGACAAGGTTGAATGGAGTATGCTGGTGTGCGGCCTATGCTCCTCCATGAGGGGTAGCAGACGTATGTAAGTAAGTAAGTAAGTAAGTAATGCATTTATAATGATAAATTATTATTCATTAAGTAAATGAATAACTAATAAGTTACTCATTCATGGTTAGTTAAACAAAGTGAAAATATATAAATCATATGAATATCATTTAAACTATTAAGAATAGAAGAACACTAACTGATAGTAGATAGTATTGTGAAAGATATTTCTAGTATCTTATCTACAAATGGAATGAATGTTAACTACTAGTCTAAAGAATTTTGATCTGGTAATATATATATATATATATATATATATATATATATATATATATACAATTTTACAACTTTAAATGTTTTTCAGATGTGGATCATTGTTTAATCAATGAATGAAATTCATTTTCAAGTTAACATATTAAAGAAAAACTAACACTTAACCAAAACTATACAATGAAAAAAAACAACTTCATTCTTTTCTTTACATACAATATATTCATATATTTATATACATAAAATTACACTACTTAATTTGTGTTAAAGCATATAATTCTTTTTTTAAATGTATAATTTCCATATAACCAATAGCCTGTTTTAATTGATCCGGTAATTTGATTAATTGTCTATAAAATTTATTATTAGATGATTGAATGTTTGTATCCAATATATGATCTGGATTCATAAGTTTCTTATTAAAATATTTTGTACCTATATAATTTCTTATAGTATATCTACATTGTACAAATAAACTAAATGGTTGTTTATTTATTATTTTTAAAAATTTATTATGATAATAAATAAAATAAAATAAATATTGATGATAATCAATTATGGAAGTTTTTTTAGTTTTATTATTTTGACTACTTAAATAAGTAATATGTAAAATATCATTAAAATTTTCAGGTAATTTACATAAACCTGAATAAATAAAATTAAAAAATAATATAATAAATGATTGTAATATAATTGGAAAATATTTAATGGATTGTTGTTTATTATTATTAATATTCCATATTACTAATTTATTTATAAGTAATGGATAAAATTGATTTTTATATAATTGATTTGTATTTGATATTGATAAATTAATATTATTGAAAATCAATAATTTTTTTATATTAAATAATAATAGTTTATCAGTATATATAAGAAAAAATAATTTTGTTGGAATTAGACCAGAATTTAATAATTGTCTTAATAGACCTGCATGATCAATTATTGGATCATTATTTGTAATATTCATCATTTGAAAACTATTATCTAATTGTATGGCAGTTTGTTCACATAGATAAGATAAAGTATTTAATTGAATACCTCCATGACATATGTATGGATGAAGAGTATCTATCATATGAATATTAGCTCCTTTATTGAGAAGATAAGAAAGTATTATTGAATAAATTCCAACTGTTTTAGGAACATTAGAAGATTGGTTTAATGGAATATTTCTTAGAAATAGATCGATAACTGATGGATATATCTCCTTGATTATGGTCCCTTGTTTTCTATCCTCTTGATTATTGATTAATTTCATCATTTTTTGTATAGAATTAATATTGATTCCACTATTTATTAAAAATATAAATGATTCCCATTGATTATCATTAATTGCTTGACTAAATAAAAATTGTTTATATATATCTAATGTCTTGTCATAGCTTATTACTTTACTAAAAGAACATTTAGAATGATGAAATGGTTCCATATCATCATTAAGATTACCAGATTTTTCGATTTCAGTTTTTAGTTTCAACCTTGTCTTTTGTTTTCTTTTTATTTGATTATTCCATTTACGATATCTTATATGTTTTCGATGTATAATACATCCAGAATTATATAATGTATTGATTGATTTTAAACTATTATCATTACGTAAATCCTTAGATTTTGAGTCCATTATATTCTCTTGTAAATTTGCTTTATATCGTTTATTATGATAATGATATTCATTATTGTCAATGTTAATCATTTGAGTAGGTCTGAATAAATTGTCTATTTCTTTATTGAATAAATTGTTTGTTTCCTTTACCATCATCATTTTATTATGTAATTGTATTGTATTGAATGTTTTTTCAATTTTATGTTTTGTTTTATTATATAAAAAAAGAAAAAATGCTTTATATTTTAATTTTTCTGATAATTTAAAGTTACACATAAATTGAAAATTTACATTTGTTTGATTCGATTTAATAATTGGAGGGTTAAGTGAATTGGTTTCCCATAGAAATGAATAACTATTAGATAATAAATTAACTTTATCATATCGTTCTGATATTGATGGTTTACTGATTTCTGATAATCTGGTTAATAAAAACATTTTGATAATAGTAGTATTAATAGTAGTATATTCTATTTGAGTAAATCTATACTAAATTATATTAGATAATTAAAATTATTTATATTTTAAAGTTTATGACATGGAAATCATCAATTATAAATTAAAATGAATCCTTGTATGTGTTTGTTTATCTAAATGAATATTAAAGGTACAATTCCAAATATTAACCAATCATAAATAAGTAAAATACTAAGAATCTGATTGGTTAAGATGATAACAACCAATTATATTTAATAGTTGAAAGCGTGAGTCAATTGAAGATAGACTACCATGAAAAATCTGGATGTGCACTGCTGATGAGTCCCATAATAGGACGAAACGGCCGTCCAGTGCTTCCAGGTTTTCAATGGCGGTCCAACTTCAATTGACTCATGATTTCAACTTTGAAATATACTGAAATCTCCACAAATCCCCTTCAGATCTGCTTATATTAAACTGTTCAAGAAAAAAATTCTTTTATTAAAGTGATAGATATTACTTTTAAAGAATTCGTAGTAAAGTCATTTGCATTGACTTCAAGCTGCCTAATAATAAACTCTGTGATTGAAACTGTTGTCCTTACTATGCTCACTGATTTGAATTCTGACTAATAAATCTCAAATCATTAATCAAGTCAGAGACAAGTTAAAAATACAAATGTTATTTTCTATTTTATTGGTACGATGTGGTCTGTTTGGTTGGTATATAATCCAGTATGTTTGAGAATAATGATTCATACCGCAGAGACTGTTATTGGTGTTCTGGACTTAACTGTCTGGGCTAGGTAGAAAGCAGGATTGATAAGTACTCGAAACTGCTCATACGGTTTTCGTGTATGATTGTTCTGATCGATCATTCACTCCTCTTTAATTGGCGGTCTTTTCACGTCATATATAAAACAGAACATCCATTCAGGCAATCAATATAACAGTTGAAAATACATTAGTTTTCATTGCCTTAAAGGATTGTATTTATCTAGTGAATAGCTTTGTTATCAGTCTCAAGTTAATCATATATTTATATATTGTTGAAAGTTACATTCATTTCCATTGTAACGAGCACTAAACTGCAATAAGTAACACAATATTTATTTTGTTATAGTCAATGCCTTATTATAAACGATCATGCAAATAAACAAAACTTTATTCAGAAAAACATTTTCATTATTCACAAAAGCAATAATACTAACTACCAAAAAACCTAGGTTTAAAATTTCTTCTCGACTATCTCCAACTACTTGACAACTGAACTTAATCACGTCACTCAAATGAGTGACCAATATTGTAACTCAATTTACAGAATTTGGTCATCAGTTAAGGACTGACTTCAAGAGGTAAATCCAGGAGTTATAGTGAGAAGCAGTGACCAGTGGAGTGTAAACCAGGTCTGTTTTGAGATAAGAACTCACTGAAGACAATTGGTGAACGGTTGCTCAACTTCGTGGATTGGTTGAGGTTAGACATTAACACCATTGAATGCCGACCGGCTTAGTGGTCTATCGGTTAAGTGCTCTGGTGAGAGACTGGTAGGTCTTGAGTTCAAATCTCGTGAGGCGGAATAGTGGATGCGCACTTCTGAGGAATCCCACAATAGAGCGAAATGACCGTTCAGTGCTTCCAGGTTTTCCATGCTGGTCTAGCTTCAATCAACTCATGCTTTCAACTATGAAAATAATACTAAAATTAGTATCATGAAACTAATAAAAAGTGACTGTACTTCTGATTTGTATTAAATGCTATTCATGAATATTTTCCAGACTAATTCTTAATAAATATTTATCATGAATCGATTGATTGTAGACATTGACATCATTAGATTCCTGCTCAGAAATTTAGGGGTTAAGCATTTTCGCTCGAGACCGAATAACTTGGGTCCGACTCCCTTATTCAGGGTCGTGGGTACACACTACTGAGTGATCCCACAATAAAACAAAACGGTTGTTCCTTGCTTCCAGGTTTTTACTGGTGGTCTAGCCTAGATTGTCTCATAAATTCAATTATTAAAGTTACTACAATCTCCACAAACTCCTATTCTGATAGTAATACCATTATAAAATACCTTAGAAACAAAATTATTATTCTGTATCATTTTTCATTCTCCAATTTAATTTTTATTCAATGTTAATTTTCTTATTTCATTGTCTTATATTGTCGCCTAAAACAAAAGAAATGACTTTATGTAACGTTCATTGAATCGTTTGTTTCTTTCAGTAGTATGTTCATTTATTCCCTATATATTGGTCTAATATTTGATACCAAAATGGAAATCATCGATTACAGATTGTTTATTCACCTTATTTTCCTTCGTCATCGGTAGATTTTTCTATTTTGTATATATGATCATTGTTCAATTTTTATGGGACGTCAATTATTTTTTTTTATATACAGTTTCTGTTACAAATTATGTTACCTTAAAGTTTTACATTTGAATATCCGGAAATCAACGTCAAATATCTACCTTTAGAGGAGATATAAGAAGATAAATAGTTTTATGAATATAGCGATGAATAATTTGTAAGCGAAAATGGATAATGTCTAGCAGTGGAATCCAGGACATGCGTTTTGTCCTATTTGGGATTCAGCAGCTGGATGTACCTGCATCTCAGAGTTCATGTTCACTCTGGGACTCGAACCCAGTACCTTTCGCTTCAAACGTCATCACGTTATCCACTTAGCTGCTACATCCCGATAGCCACTTGCTTGTGCAATGGAGTGAAGTTTAAATTCACTTAGTATTGTTTGTTTGAATCTTGCCATTGATGTTGAGGACTGCAATCTCTAGTTGGCTTATGTGCATACTGTGCGTCTTACCTCGATATTGCCTTATTTCACAAGCATTATAAGCAAAGATGTATAGTGGCTAGTGTTTGTGACCAGTTGCAGTCATAATACTGCATAATTTGCATCAAATAATTTTCATTTTAAGTATTTATAATAATCTGGTCAATATATCAAATGGCTGTTTCGGTGTAACCGTCGAACTGTAAGTGCATGTAAGGTGTACTAACTTATTAGACGTTTGAGTATGATTATTAGTAAAAGGGTGAAAATCCAGAAACCCTTATACGTCAACTTAGGAAAAATTTAAAAGTATTATATTAAGTAGTATCAGAATAGACAGAAAAATAATTAGGAAATATTAAAAACAATCCTAACACTTTCCACATTTACTTACTTACTAACTTATGCCTGTTACATCTTGTGAAGGAGCATAGGCCACACACCAGCATTCTCCTTTCAACCCTCTCCTGGGCGACCCTTTCCACGCCCTTCCACTTGTTATCCATCATTTTCATGGCCTTCCACTTTTCCGCTTCCCTTCAGAATTACAAGTAAGGGATTGCTTCGTGATGTAGTTCGGTGATTTCCTCAATATATATCCCCTCCACTTCCAACGTCTTTTCCTAATTTCCTCTTCATCTGGAACCCGGTTTGTCTTCTCACACAAAAAAGCTATTGCTGATAGTATTCGGTCAGTGAATGTTGAGTATTTTGAGTGGACAACGGTTTATAAATACTTGCACCTTCTTGGCGATGGAATGAGTAGTTCTGCACATTTCAGCTCCGTACAGTAAACTGTCTGTCTTGACGTTCGCATTAATGATTCTCACTGTAAAATTAGTTGCTTTGAGTTCCATATGTTCTCCAATTGTAGGAATGCTGGCCTTGCTTTGCAATCTTCATCTTTACATCTGCATCCGATCCTCCTTGATCATCGATGATGCTGCTGACCAGTTACGTCAGTGTTTCTACCTCTTCCAGAGTTTTTCCATCAAGTGTGATTGTCTTGGCTTTCTATAAAATGTGCCAGTGAAATTAAAGAGTTCGATTTTAGAAGTTCTGCCAAATAATTATTGATCATAAACGTTTAAGTATATATTACGTGAATTAGTACAGGTCGATATAATACTTGAAGTAAAACATTCACTGACACACGAATTATACATATCACTTAATGAAAATTCATCCCATTTGAACAAATGACAATACACTATTTATCCAGATATTTGGACTATGTGTTCTCAAAATGTACATTTTATTATAAAGTAACATGCTGGCAACGGATTTCTATTTAAATATAGAGTGCTTTCCCTTCAAATATTACCGTTGGCTTAGAGGAATCATAGTATATTTTCATAATACAATGGGTGAGAGTATAAATATTATTCTTCATTAACTGTATTAATAATATATGCTTCATAGATATTTCATTGAGTGTTCAATTAATGGTTAACCACAGTTATATATGTTTCCTAAAATCCGGCTTAAGCCATGTCTATTAAAAAAAACAGATTTTAACCTACTTCAAGTGACCAGTTTGCTTACAAATGCGAAAGAAGCACTTTAGACGCCTTTGCTGTTCCTAATCACAATATCGTGTTCAACTTGGAAAAGGGTGAGAAGTATGTTCGATGCGCTTTTCTGGACTATACTTCTGCTTCTGATTCTATTCTAAGACACCTCTTACTTAACAAGTTGATCAGCGTCAACACTGACAGCTAGATAACCAATGGGCTATGTTCCTACCTTTCTGAAAGAGAACAGTACACTGTGTTTGGAGGAAAGTGTTCAACGTCTCTACTGTCAAATGAAGGTGTGCCACAAGGAGCTGTTCTTTCACCTCTTCTTTTCTATTTTTTTCCGTAGGATTTGCCATCTCCCACAGAAAACACTTTTGTAAAATCTGCGAACGACATCACTGTATTTTTGCCAATTTCTACATCCTTACATCCCATAGAAATGAATGAGTTTTTGTCTCGAATCGAATGGTGGTCTGTTGGTAATGGTCTCTTTCTTAATCCATTTAAATGTCAAGCTGTTAACTTTAGCCTGAGACATGGACAGCACCTTTAGACTATTTTGGGATCTCATAATGCCTGTGCAATTGCAGACTTCTTGATAAACACAGTGTCGAAGGTCAGTTATCTTGGTATTACTTTTTCCTCTGATCTCTCTTGGTCTTCTCATGTTTTACTGTTATCGAAAAAAGTTTACTGTTTGACTTACTACATAAAGAGGCTGCATGCTTTTGGGATTACTCGCCATTTACCTATACAGTTTTTAAATTCCTGCATATTACCTATTATTCTTTACTTTTCTCCATTATTCCTTCCCGGGCTTTTGAGAAAAGACTTTGCTGTACTGCGGAGTGTTGAAGGCAGTTAGCAAAGTGTGTGGTGAATCATTTGAGGTCATTATTAATATACTTGTAGATAGACATCTTAAGTCCTGCAAACTCCTGGCAGGTGTTATTTTATCATATACTAACCATCCACTTCATTCATATCTTTCACCTTGTATATCTTTTGGTTGAACTCGAAGTAAATATATTAAAATCCATGCACTCAAACAAATCTATAAAAGTTCTGTAATACCTTAACTAGCAAATATACTCTGTGACTAACAGGTTGTTGAAGTTAACCTAGTAAACAACCTGTATTCTTAAGCATGTCTCAAATGTGTCAATTTGTACAGACTCGGTTTTTTCTTCTCTTTCACCTTTTTTTCGGTTCTTTCTTTATCGTTTTTTTAGTAAAGAAAAAATCTTTTGAAATACCTTGTGCTGAGAATTGAATATTGTACCGGAATATACCATTGAATAAAGCCATTAAAAATAATGATAATAATAATCCAAACTCCTCCTTACTTACTAACGCCTGTTTGAATAATTTCATATGGTTAGCTTTTTTTTTAGCAAGTTGGTTTTCTACAGAATGGGGTTGCTAACCCCATGCCTAACCCTCCTCCTTTATCCAGGCATGGGACCGGAAGTAGTCCACGTAGGAGCTACAGGCAAAGTTTAATTGCTTTGATTAGAAACTGTTTAAAAATTAGGATTTATAGAATGTACATTGTTCAAACGTATTTTAATTCTTTAAACTAATAAATTTAAAGTTTCCTAAAGTAAGACAAATTTGAGCATCTTTATTCAAAACTCTGATCACATTTTTAATAATATAACCATATTGATCCATCAATATATATATTTACAAGAGTTGATTAAAACTAAAATGATCAATATATAAGAACTCTCGTCTAAATTAGAGCGAATACTTTCACAGTATTTGAGCGCCGAGTTGATGTAAGACACTAAATAGGAATAATATATTTGTATATAATGATCAATAATACAAAATCCTAGTATATCAAGATTTCCATACATGAATATTAATGTATCAACTACATAAAATTACTAAAATCTCCACAAACTCCCTTCTGATAATGACCATATGCTCACTAGTGACTGGCTCCATGAGGTATTTCCTCGAGTTCTAGTGAGAAGCAGTAACCAGTGGAGTTTAATCAGGTCTGTGAGATACTAACTCACTGAAGACAATTGGTGAACCGTTGCTCAAATTTCGTGGATTGGTTGAAGTTAGACATGAACACCACTGGATGCCGACCGGATCAGTGGTCTAGTGGTTAAGCGTTCGCGCGCGAGACTGATAGGTCCTGAGTTCGAATCTCGCGAGTCTGGATCGTGGATGCGTACTGTTGAGGAGTCCCACAATAGAATGAAACGGTCGTCCAGTACTTCAAGGTTTTCCATGGTTGTCTAGCTTCAATTGTCTCATGATCTAGATTATATAAAATTACTAAAATCTCCACAAAACCATCTTCTAATAAGTATCATAAATATTTCAACTATGGTTATCAATATCAGTGTATAGTCAGGTGTAGGAAAAATGTGAATGTGACCAACTCGGTCTCATTTGTTGTTACAGGTATAAGGGCTAGTATCACTCCCCGGCTGCCCACACTGTGGAAGTTTATTTCTTGAGGGACCTGAGAAGGAAGTTGGATTATTGTTGATCTTAACCACCTGAAAGCGTGACCGCAGAGTCCAAGAGACAACTACTTGAGGCCGTTCACGTACGGTTTTTTTGTGTGTATTTTTGTGTTAGCTCCGTACTTGTTGAGACCTTACCACCGGAGACGGAAATCCGTGGGATAAGTCGAGGTGTGCGTTTTTTTCTAACTCCCCCCCTCCTTGTGGGAAGGCAGCATCGCTATTATGCTGGTTGTCTGAAGGAAATACCTTAATGCCGTCATACCTCTGGACAGTCAGCAGTACGACTTCGCCTTCGGACCTTGGGATTTCTGTTTTTAGTCTTACCGCTCTTCAATCGACTCGTCTGTCATGGTAGGACTTTGAGGAAAGATTGTTTTAGCCAGTATAGCTCTACTGGTTCATCACGATAGACAATCCCGACCACCACGTCAAGGTAGCAGCAACGGCCAGGATCAGTGTATAGTGAGGTCAAATGCATCACATTCATTAATATAAACTATGTACATAAGAGAGTATATACTATAATAAAAGTAAAACATAGATCACTATAAAAATATTAGTTTACAACCATAGAAGAATATCTTATTTGTACTAATATTAATTACCTATCTAATGTTATTCAACAATAACAAAAAATTCACTCAATAAAAAGAAAAAAATATTTTCTCGGAAGTACTTACTTACTTAACTACGCCTGTTACTCCCAATGGAGCATAGGACGCCGACCAGTATTCTCCAACACACTCTGTCCTCAGCCTTCTTTCTAGTTCTATTCAGTTTTTTTTTTTCATTTTTCCCGGAAGTAATAATGAGTAAATTCTATTGAATTATGCTCGTTTCCTTACATTGGTTAAGTTATTGTAATCAAGAGATAAATAAAATTAACTTTCATTTAAAATGTACCCTTTCTTATTGAATAAGAATAGATGGTTCGTTTGGTATAGTATAAATGACAGCTCCTATTGTTCATTGATAGTAGGGGTATGTATAATTGATGTTAAAATTATTTATTAAAGTGATTGAACATAGCAACAACAACAACAACAACGAATAAAAATGTTTTTAGACGCTTACAGGAGAATTGATTACTAGTTGTCCATAATAAATACTTCAGTATCATGAGTAAAATACAGTTTGCAACAGAAGGGGTTTTTGTAGAGTTTTCAGTAATTTTCTAGTTGAAATCATAAGTCAATTGAAGCTAGACTATTATGGAAAACCTAGAAACATTGGACGACCGTTTCGTCCTATTGGTGGACTCCTCAACAGTGCGCATCAACGATTGATATTAATCAGCAACTGAAAATGAGATTGTTTCAAAGACTTTAGTTTTTGATATTAAATATCTTTCTGATTCTGATGGAAACGGATAGTGAAAACACATGAGGAATATTTGTTACAAAAATTTAATTCTTGAATTGTTCTAAATAAAACTTAGTTTATAATATAATCAAGGAAAATACTTTTGATAAATAGTAATACATTAATTCACATCTTATATTAAGATATACTTAAGACTATTTAAAGCCTTATAAGTATGATTAGCAAAGATGGATAGTGGGTAGCAGTGGAATCCAGTTTGACGCGCGTTTCGTCTTATTTGGAACTTGTCATCTGGATGTACCTACACCTCAGAGTTGATGTTCACTCTGGGACGAAACGCACGTCCTGAATTCCCCTACTAGCCACTAACCATCGTTGCTCATAAAGCTTGTGACTTCAGGCAATATTAAGGCAGTCCGCATAGGATTCACATACACCAATAAGAGACTGATCAGTTGCAGTCCAATACATGAATGGAAAGATACAAGTAAAACACCAAGTGAATTTAAACTCCATCCCATTGCACAAGCAAGTGGCTATCAGGACTCAGTAGCTAAATGTTTAACGGAAGGTACTGGTTTCGAGTCCAAAAGTAAATATCAATTCTAAGATGCAAGTATATCCTACTGACGAGTACCAAATAGGACGAAACACGTGTCAAACTAGATTCCACTCCTACCCACTATCTATCATTGCTTATTCAGTTAAAATTGCCAATAAATTTGAATCTAACTATATATATATATATAGTTTTATAAAATTATACAAAACCAATATTACTCCAATATTATGTCATTTACTCTATAAATCATGATATTAAAACAATTCACATGTTCTTTTCTTTACCATAATACCCATTTATTGACTAATTATAAAGTAACCAATAGTATCCTATTAATAATTAAAAAAAAAAAAATCAAACAAAGAAAACACCCTTAAATCAATTAATCATTATCTGATCATATTAACTTTACTACATTTATGTCCTTGAATGTAATTTCTAGAAACTTTTAATTCAAATTATTTTCATTCATAAACCGTGAAAGAATTTTATGGAATATATTCAATAAAAGAATAATAGTATTTTGTTTACATTACACAACATAGCCAATATTCAATTCATCCTTGAAACTATTAAATTTATAATCATCTATCTTATATATATTCTGGTTAATGAAAAATTTCAAATCTAAAATTAAATCTTATATATCATCTAGTGATACATCATATACCATATCTAATACATCATTAGAAAAAGAATTTACACGTACTGCATCTGTAGATTCTATATTCGATAATATATCATCAAAAGCACATGCATTATTTTCAATACTTGATGAAGATCATAAAGGATATTTAGATAATCAAATTTTATTAAAAATATGTAATTCTGATTTAAATGAATCACAAATTAATGATTTAATTCATCATCTTGATTATGATGGTGATGGTAAAATTAGTTCTGATGATTTTATATTTGGTTTATATAAATTAGCTAAACATAATAGTTTAATACGTGCTTCATTAAAAGCAATAACAATAAATAATTCAAAAAATTATTTAATTAAAAATTATTCTAATTCATTATCAAATTTATTTAAAAATCATTTAATTACAAATGAAATTAATTTAGATATTAATAAAAAATTATGTAATCATTATCAAATAAAATCAAATACTACAATAATTCAATCAATAAAAATTAGAACAAAAACAAAACAAAGATTACATCGTCGAATTCTTACATCATTATTCTCTCAACAAACTAATTCATTGTTAATAAGTCCATTATCATCTCAATTGTTTGATATTAATTCTATTGATGAATGTTTAAAATATTTAACCAGGTAAATATACTTTTTTTTATTCATATTAAATTTTTTGTTCATTTCATAAGTATATAAGTAGGATGATAAGAAAAGATGGATAGTGGCTAGTAGTGGAATCCAGGACGCGCGTTTCGGACTCGTCAACTGGATGTACCTGCATCTCAGAGTTGATGTTCACTCTGGGATTCGAACCCAGTACCCTCGCTTCAAACGCCATCGCGTTATCCACTCGGCTACTTGTTTGTGCAATGGGGTGAAGTTTGAATTCACTTAGTATTGTTTGTTTGAATCTTCCCATTGATGTGTTTAGAACTGCAACTGGTCAGTCTCTAATTGGCAGCGTACTGGGTTCGAGTCCCAGAGTGAACATCAACTCTGAGATGCAGGTACATCCAGCTGACGAGTCCCAAATAGGACGAAACGCGCGTCCTGGATTCCACTGCTAGCCACTATCCATCTTTGCTTATCATGCTTGTGAATCAAGGCTATATCGAGGCAATACGCACAGTATGCACATATGCCAATTAGAGACTGACCAGTTGCAGTCCTAACACATCGATGGGAAGATTCAAACAAACAATACTAAGTGAATATATAAGTAGTAGTTTTATATAATATTATTAAAATAGATTTACACAATGTGGTGAGCTAATTTATTAAAACATTTCAAGATGAACATTCCATTGTGTTGATAACAATATAATATACAAATCAAATATTCTCACTAGTGACTAGCTCCATGAGATGTTTTCTGGAGATCTAGTGAGAAGCAGTGATCATTGGAGTGGTCAAGCGCTTGCGAGCGAGACTAAGTGAGTTTGAATCTCATGAGACTGGATCGTGGATGTACACAGTTGAGGAGTCGTACAATAGGACGAAATGGCCGTCCAGTGCATCCAGGTTTTCAATGGTGATCTAGCTTCAATTGACTGATGATCTCAACTATATAAAATTATCTTCTATTTAACAAATTACTAGGGATTCATTCCAAGTCTTTCTCTAGTTGCTTTAACGGTTATTAAGTGTATTAGTCTATATTTTACAATAATCTATTAGTCCTTTATTATACTTTATCGATTGTTTTTGTTCAGTTCAGATAGAGTATTGTTGTTAAAATACGAGAAGTTTTCATATTTATTCACATTTATTCAAGCTGATATGGAAAAAAAGTATATCTTTCTATTGATTCTTGACAAGTATTTTCTTTGAAATTGAACATGAATACGAAATGTGTTTCATTTTACTAATTCTAATTGATGTTAATTACACTTGTCGAGAAGATAAAATGGCGAGGCTAAATTATATGGACGAGCCAATCAGAAGCTTTCGCGGGTTTTCAAGGTCACAGCGCTAAGTTTGGTACCTGATGCTTACATACAGTCGGTTTACAACGGATTTTGGAGAAGAAATGATAATTCAGCGTCTACAAGAGAAGTGATCATAAGATTTCGGCTCAAAATTCAATTATCCATTTGTATAAATAGAGTTTTGGCATTATAGGTGATGTCAGTTCGTGATGAAAACTCTAAGTATAATTCCTGACCTTAACCATGAGCTGTAAACCATAATTTGAATTCTTCACACAGGTTTATAACCCTCATTTAGTCTTGGTTATTATGTTGACACTCTCAGAGTCACTCTAGCTTCACTAAAAGGTCGTCCATAATATATAGTCCCATCCTTAACCCTAAACATAACTCTAACCTTAAACCCTAAACCTTAACTCTAACCTTAAACCCTAAACCATACCAATATACCAACAACATTGAAGCTGTGTGGTCGAGGCTAGTAGAATTTTCGAGACTTTATCATGGTTTCAGAGGTCGATTACTGTAGAGCCATATGGATGTGTTCCTGTACCGTATGCGCTATGATTTTAGAACTTCTGAACCTATATCTGACCTTGATAAGTTTTTGACTCATGTAAATGAAGTGTATCCACTTTAATTCTTTGGTTTTGTATGATAAATTTTTATTAACTGTCTTCTGATTGGCTAATATTTCTCAAGGTCGTTTAGGATTCGTTCAAAGGTCGTCCATGTAGTTTAGTCTCGCCGACGAAATTGTTTATTACTTTGAAAATACTGATCAGTATAGGGATTTGTGAAGATTGCAGTATTTTCACAGTTGAATTCATCAGTCAATATAAGCTATATCACTATTGAAAACCTGCAAGTTAAACATTAACACCGTTGGATTCCATCTCAGTCGCCTAGCGCTCAAACGTTCGCAGGCGAAACACAAGGTGCTGGGTTCGAGTCCCACGCGGAAGATTTCGGGTGCACACTACTAAGGGGTGTCATTCTAGGACAAAATGGTCGTCCCTTGATTCCAGGTTTTCAATGATGGTCCAGTTTAGATCGACTCATGAATTCATCTATTAAAATTACTATAATCTCTACAAATCCATATTACGTTAATAATCATTATGTGCTCACTTGTGACTAGCTTGAACATGGATTTCGTGCAGTTCTAATGAGAAGTTTTGACTGATGGAGTTCAATCTGTGTTGGATGTGAGACAATTATCCACTTCAGATAAAAGATGAAGTGTCGTGTAAGATCATGAATCCATTGATGTTACACATTATCACTGTCAGATACCAGTTCAATAATCTGCTTTTGTAAATTTCACAGAGAATTAATTAGAATATTTTCTAAAAGAACGAAATGTATGGTACTTATATTTCGTGAGTAAAATATAACACTTTCTTACAGTGTATAGGTTACCATTTCAAAATAGTCATACCAAAATGTTATCATACGATTCATTTGGTATTGTTTGTTTGAATCTTCCCATTAGTTTTTAGGACTGCAAATTGATCAGCCTCTTATCGGCAGATGTGCATACTGTGCGTATTGCCTCGATATAGCCTTCATTCGCAAACATTATAAGCGAAGATAGTCAGTTGCTGGAATCTAGTTTGAAGCGCGTTTCGTCCAATTTGTGACTCGGCAGCTGAGTGGTTAACATGAGGGCGTTTGAAGCGAACGGTACTGGGTTTGAGTCTCAGAGTGAACAGCAACTCTGAGATGCAGATACATCCATCAGACGAGTCCCAGATAGGACGAAACGCGCTTCGTGGATTTCACAGCTAGTCACTGTCATCATATTGTGTTTTAAGTAGATAAATTATATCCTACTTGTTACGTCCTTGATCTGTCTACTCACTTTCGTGCCGAGGATAACTTGTCTAATGTAGATTAAGACCTTGACGAGATAGGCTGACTGGCTTAACCTTGAGGCTAATATGCGTGAGGTTGAAGTGGGGTTAGAGAGAAGAAAACTATTCTATCCCTGATTGACTGAGAAGCATGCTCTAGAGAGAAGATAAGACAACTGGGACACTACTCGCTTTATTCCAATCCCGATCTTGTACCCGAATTCCGATTAGTGTAAAAAGATGTATGAATAAATAGATGACTAACCTGACCACAACGTACAATAATTAGGAAAATATAATTATGTCCAAAACTGGTGGATTAGAGTAGAAAATAGGATACAAAAGGTCACTTCTAAATTACTATAGCTTTGGAACAGAAAATGCTATGTCAGTGAATCATACATCAAACGAAAGCTTATGATCCGTAGAATAGATTGAGGACCAAATTAAGTGTTACAGTTTTACAAGCTTTGAATTAAATGAAATAACGTCCCCAAAAATAGCTTCCATAGTTTGTTAAGGTTTGTTGTTTCGCTGTTCACATCACTACTAATCACTTTCGACTTTTAAAAAAACCACTTAAAATACCTTCCTTACCAGATTGTTTTATACATTTGTAATTTTCATAGTTGAAATCATGAGTCAATTGAAGCTAGAATACCATGGAAAACCTGGAAGCCCTGCTTGACGGCCGTTTCGTCCTATTGTGGAACTCCTCAGCAGTGCGCATCCACGATCCCACTCTCACGAGATTTGAACCCAGGACCTATCAGTCTCGCGCCAGAGCACTTAACCGATAGACCAATGAATTGGCTGACATCCAACGGTGTTCATGTCTAACTTCAACTAATCCACGATGTTTGAGCAACCGTTCACCAATTGTATTCAGTCAGTTGATATCTCTACAACAATGAAAATATTAAATTCTTCACAAAACCCCTTCTGATTTGTAATTTTGTTTAATTATTAATAATATATATTCATGTTTTAATGACTAATTAAAAATTTATAGTAACGAAAATATAAAAATCATAATGGTGGTAAACATAAACAAACATTTTTAGGTAAAACGCCTTCATGAAAACAAAAAACAAACAAAAAATAAAAAAATAAAAAAAAACATAAACCACTCATTTAATAAACAGAATATACAGATAACTTTGTTTACCATTCACAATGTGATAAAATTAGGTTAATCATTATAGATTATCTTTATAATTTAAGTTAACTTAATGATAGTCACTTGATATAGAGTAACCAACAAGAAGAAACTAAAGTTTAGTTAGTAGTACATTTATATACTTGACTAGAACAATTATTGGACATACCACTTAATTTTGTATATAAAGATTAAAACTAATATTTTATCAACAAAATGTACAACATTCAATCATTCATTAGATTGAAGTGAGAAATATAACTTCACTTGGTATTGTTTGTTTTAATCTTCCAAATTGATGTTTAGAACTGCAACTAGTCAGTCTCTAATTGGCATATGTGCATACTATGAGTATTGCCTCGATATAGTCTTATTTCACAAGTATTATAAGCAAAGATGAATAGTGGCTAGTAGTGGAATCCAGGACGAACAAGCAAGTTGCTATCAGGACTCAGTAGCTAAGTAGATAACGTGATGGTATTTGAATCGAACGGTACTGAGTTCAAGTCCCAGGGTGAAAATCAACTCTGAGATGCAGGTATATCGATCTAACGAGTCTCAAATAGATCGAAACGCACTTTATGGATTTCACTGCCAGCCACTATCCATCTTTGCTTACAAAACTTTATAAATTTCATTTTTAACAGTTAATAGCATTCAGTAAGTTCATTATTATATACAACAGATAAATGGGAACATCATTGTGTAGTATGAGATAACTCTTAGACTATCCTAGTATAGTTATCAGCTGCGACTTTAAAAAATTCAGAATAATTAATTCGTCATATGATTAATTCTAAATTGTGTAATGCTTTATGATATACCATTTCAACTTAGAAATACAAACTAACAGTGTATGTTACTTCACTTTTTTTTTCAATGCATAATTTAACTAAAATGCCTTGACAGCATTCTAGGCATCATCAAAGTACATCTTAGAAACAAATGATCGGCTTCAATTTTTTTTCTTCAATTGACTAGAAATTTGTGTAACTAGTATAGATTATAATCTCTTGTTGTTACTGCTGCCATGAATTTTTTTAAGTTTCTACTTTTTGAATTCACCTTCAATATTGTGATTGTTTTCATTAATTTTGTAGACTGGATTTACATCATTAAGGTTATTAATTACAGAATAACTTGAATGAGAAGCGTTTGTAAATATTTAATTCAACCATAACGTAACATTTCAATAATTTTGATAGTTTTAATACTTTTTTTACTAAGTTAACCATAGTATAGTTAATCTGACAGTCTGGTAAAAGTAAGTCAAAAAATAAACCAATTTAGTGATAGAAATAATCCACAGAATTGAATTAGCACTAAAAGGACTAGACAAGTGTGAGTTGGGTCACTACTTAGTGATCAATCGAATATAAATATCCCAGTTCAATAAAAGTTTAATTGGCTTTTGAATAGCTCAGTTGTGATGTCTCGGATGGTGAAGCTAGGTGACATAAGATTGAGTCCTTCTTAGAACATCATTTTCAACAAGAAGATTAAGTATAATGAAACCGAGGTTCAGGGTTTTTTGTTGACCTCCTTTTGACTACTTAAATTCTGAAAGAAAACACTAACATTAGAATTAAACGCGATACAGATTTGTTTGCGTTTCTCAAACATTATATTTAAATCATGTATTAAATGAAAGCAATAGGTACGACACACCAAATTTTTTTATAACCGACAAATAGAGTTGTAAATATTCATTTCTGTGGGTCGAAGGGCCTACTTCAATGTTCCATTCAGACTATTTGGGAATAGTGTGTAGTTGTAGAGTAGCTGAAGGCCAGCTGAACTTCTCCTTAAAGTGTTCCGCTCATCGTTCTAAACGTCTGGGATGAGAGCAGATAAGGGTTCCGTCTTTTTCCAAGATTGTCTCATTTATACTTGACTTCTTAATTTCGGTTTCTTTTATTAGTCTGAAGAGTTTCCTGGTGTTAAATATGTCTTTGTTAAGTAACGTATCATTTTGAGTCTTTACACTTCAGCACAAGAAAGTGAAACGACTAAGAAAGGAAATAGTGGGAAGGTAATGATGGAAACTATTCATACAGTTTGAAGAAAAAGTAGGTATCATCATCAAGTTTTGATTTGATAATTTTGAATAAATTGAGCATTGCGCAGATTGTTATAAATAAATTAATCTATTTGTAATATCCCAATGAGTAGAAAAATTAAATTTTTTGACGTTTCGTAACTCAGTGTAAGTCACTTCTTCAGAGAACAAATAACCAAATTAAAATTAATCCAAGTTTAAATAGTACATCGGAACAACACAAATATGATCATTCATTTCTGTCGTTATCTTTTTCTATGCTCTAAGTGTTAATTTTTAATATCTGATGTTTGTGTTCAGCAATTGTTTACAACGTATAAACATTCTTATCAAATGTGGACTCATAAACTCTTCTTCATTATAATCACTAAGTTGTTCCATAAATCAATACTGATACAATTGACAATGAATACTAAGAATACACTTCATGTTTAAATATAAATAATGAGGTATTTCCTGGAGTTCAAGTGAAAAGCAGTAACCAGTGGAGTTCAACTAGGTCTGTTGGAAGATATCAACTCACTTAAGACATTGGTGAATGATTGCTCAATTTCGTGGATTGGTTGAAGTTAGACATTAACACTGTTGGATGCCGGGTCAATGGTTCATTGGTTAGGTGCTGGCGCGCGAAACTGGTAGGTCCTGGGTTCGAATCTCGCGGGGGCTGGATCATGGATGCACACTGCTGAGGAGTCCTATAATAATCCTATAATGCTTCCAGGTTTTCCATGGTGGTTTAGCTTCAATTGACTAATAAATTCAACTATTAAATTACTAAACCATTTTAATGACAAGTTAATAAATGAATAAGTGTATACAGCTCTATGTCTTAATAATTCTTTTTTTATTTTATTTTAGCCAAGAACATCTTTATGAACTTTACCATATACTGTTATCTGAAAATCCAAGTTTATCTAGAATGTACGAAACAGTCTTGGTGGACGTAGTTAGATATATACAAAAATCCCGTGAAATTCAATCACGATTAGAGAAACAAATTGAAAGGTAGGATTCATTGTATTAGCAAATACTTTCGATAAACCGATCCATATATATAATTGTTTTTAAGTGACTTTTTTTCAATGAGTTTCGATTATTCACCAGGACTAGTTTTTATTTATTGATTTAAACACATGAATATTAGTACAAAGGGGCACCAAATACACATGCACCACACAAATCTCATTTGATATTTGTGAGGTCTGTGACAGTTCCCAGGTGCTCAAACCGAAGCAAGAGGTTTATAATAGAGGGCCACACGCCGAGCCTTTAACCTAAAGATATGATCCACAAAACAGTAGAGCATCATTAGGAGATGCAGTCCCATGGTAGCCGGTGACCAACAGTTGGTTCATACGCCATTTGTTCCTTCAGGATACTGGAGCTCATGTGCACCATTGGTTTGGAATTAGGGTTTTCCAACTCCCCTAGGTGAACTTTCCGTGTCCACCAACCCGGTTAAAGCTCCGGACATTCGCTTTTCGTCCTCTCAATTTCGTAAACAACAGTAATTTCACGAGAATGCAATGAGTAGGAATTCTTTGTCGAAGACTATATACGCGTAGCTATGTGAGGGCATTTTGAGAGGGAGAGCTGACTCTTCTGTACCAGGGCATTTGGGGGTTACCAGGACTAGACTTAAATTATATCTACCCAGTAAGATGATATAAATATACTGTCCAAAACAGTTGATTTTAAATGTTTTGATTAAATATAGACAATGTTTTAAAAGCAGAAATCAAGAAGACATTCTGTAAACATTATATAATGTTTCGAAATGTCTAACTTCAACTAATCCATGAAATTGAGCGACACATCTACCATTGTCTTCAGTGAGTTACTATCTCACAACAGACATGGTTGAACTTCACTGGTTATTGCTTCACACTAGAACTCCAGGAAATACCTCTTACTTACTTGCTTACACATGTTACACGTCGTGGAGGAGCATAGGCCGCTCACCAGCATTCGTCATCCAACTCTGTCCAGGACAATCCTTTCCAGTCCCTTCCAGTTGTTATTCATCCTTTTCATATCTGCTTCTATTTCCCGGCATAATGTGTTTTTTGGCCATCCTCTTTTCTTCTTCCATCTTGAAGCCAGTTTATTTTGATTACATAATGTATAGTGATCTGTTATCTTGGGAGATATATTTGATTACTAACAAAGAGAAAATAGCTAAAGTACTAGTTGTAATCGGGAGATAGCAAACAGATTTTTGACAGTTATAAATAGTCTTTATGTCATACTAATTTTATCATCTATGGGATCGTACGTACACATATCCAAGAAATTTCAAACTATAAAAAAAGGGAACTATCAATTTCTTTGTCGTTTATAAACATTTACTCCACGGTTTTGAAAACAAGAAACATCTTCATGGTAATTAAAACGAATTCTGACTTAAATTCACTTAGTATTGTTTGTTTGAATTTTCCCATTGATGCTATCAGGACTCAGTAGCTGAGTGGATAACGTGATGGCGTTGGAAGCGAAAGGTACTAGGTTCGAATCCCAGAGTGAACATCAAATTTGAGATGCAAGTGCATCCAGTTGACGAGTCCCAAATAGGACGAAACGCGCGTCCTAGACAGTTATAACAACTACTTTCTAGTAAACAATGTGACCTCATAGCTTGTGTACGATTAGATTATCCTCATACGATTACTTGGTGATAATCATTATGAATACTAATATTTTTCAGTTTATCAAAATAATCAGATTGATAAACTAGATGAAATACATTAATTTCTGTGGGTGTATTATACTCTATTCATGATTATGTCCGTACTGTTATATATAACATTTTCAGGTCAACTTTAAACTACTCTTTTCCAATAAGTATTTCCATGGTGGTCTAATATCAATAGACTCATGATTTCAACAATATATAATATTACTAAAAATCTCCGCAAAAAACCCCCTTATCATGTGCTCACTAGTGACTTGTTCCATGAGGTATTTCCTGGAGTTCAAGTGAGAAGCAGTGACCAGTGGAGTTCAATCAGGTCTATTGTGAGATATCCACTCACTGAAGTCATTGGTGAATGGTTGCTCAACTTTGTGGATTAGTTGAACTTAGACATTAACACAGTTGGATGCCGACCGGCTAAGTAGTTTATCGGTTAAGTGCTCTGTCGTGAGACTGGTAGGTCATGGGTGTGTATCTAGTGAGGCGAGATTGTGGATGCACACCGCCAAGAAGTCTCACAATAGGACGAAACGGCCGTCAAGCAGTGCTTCCAGGTTTTCCATGGTGATCTAGCTTCAATCGACTCATGATCTCAACTATATATAAAAAATTACTAAAAATCTCTACAAAACCCCCCTTTCTGATAATGTAAAACTAAGTTTGATTTAGTTAAGTTTATTTGGTCAAGGACAATAAATACAAAATCAATTCATTACATTACCTTTATATAGTAGAATTTCCTGTTTATTTACAGAAATTTACATTCAATTAACTTTATCAATAATTCTCATCTTTATATTATTATTATTATTATATATTTATAGTTAATAGAATGTGGATGACCTAATTATCTTATTATGATTTTACATACTACTTACCTCTTTTTCAGTACTATATTCTTTACGTTAATGATTATAGTCATTTAATAAACTAATATATTTGTTAGATTTGTAAAGTTGATATTACTTTTAGGTTAATGAGTAGATTTTTTTTGGAAAAATGATTGTAGACAAATTAGCTTTGAAGTAGTTTAGACTTTCTTTTCATTAGATTTATTTCTGTTCTTTAATAAGCATCAATGAAAACATTCAAGTAAACAATATCAAGTGAATTTCAACTTGAACCGATTGCACAAGCAAGTGACTATGAGGAGTCATTGGTCGAGTGAATAACGTGATGGCGTTTGAAGCGAACGGTACTGGGTTGCAGTCCCACAGTGAATATCAATTCCGAGATGCAGGTACATCCAGCTGACGAATTCCAAATAGGACGGAACGCTCGTCAAACTGGATTCCAGTGCTAGACATTATTCATCATTGCTTACAATGCTTGTGAATTAAGGCTTTATCGAAGCAATACCCACAGTATGCACATATGCCAATTTTAGACTGACCAGTTGCAGTCCTAAGCATCAATGGGAAGATTCAAACAAACAATACTAAGTGAATTATGACAAAATTGTTTGAATTTTGATGTAGTTTTGTTTTCTGAGCTGAATGGTTTGATCGTTGAGCTTTCGTCGTTGTACTCAGAGTTTGTGCTGATGATGTCATTCAGAAGGACAATGAAAGTTTCACTACCAAACCATCCAGCTCAGAGAACAAAACTTCATTAAAATCATTCACCTGAGCTACAAATCTTCTCCACCGCCTAAAAAAAATTTTAAAGTTTATTATTCGTTGTAAAATAGAAATTTTTTCACGTTCTACTACGATTTCTGTTTCAATTCAGCAATAAATCAAACAACCATGTAAATAATGTTTGAAACAACGCTTAACACTGGTTAGGCTGTCAAGCGATTAATGTATTTACTTGTAATTATGTCATTTAGTGTACTTTTACTATGGTGTATACAGAGCTGTTTGTCATATACATATATTTGGTTAGTGATCTCAGTTCTCGTATCAAGAGATGTATACAACATTACTTCCAATGAAAACTCTTGAATTGTATTTGTTTAGACTTTTACGGATTCCTTTCAACTATTACAATACAAATGAACTTACTTACTTACTTAGGACTGCTACACCCCGTGAAGGAGCATAGGCCGCACACCAGCATTTTCTATCCAACTCTGTCTTGGGCAATCCTTTTCATATCTGCTTCTATTTCCCGGCGTGTTGTGTTCTTTGGCCTTCCACTTTTCAGCTTACCTTCAGGATTACAAATTATAGCTTGTATCGAGATGCATTTCGGTGATTACCTCAATATGTGTCCTATCCACTTCCAACGTCTTTTCCTAATTTCCTCTTCAGCTGGAAGCTGGTTTGTCCTCTCCCATAAAACGCTGTTGCTGATAGTATCCGGCCAGTGGATGTTGAGTATTTTGCGTAGACAACTGTTTATAAATACTTGTACCTTCCTGATGATGGCCGTAGTAATTCTCCACGTTTCAGCTCCATACAGTAGGACTGTCTTGACATTCGTGTTAAAGATTCTGACCTTGAAATTAGTTGAGAGTTGTTTTGAGTTATATATGTTCTTCAATTGTAGAAATGCTGCCCTCGCTTTGCAATCCTGATCTTTATATCTGCATCAGATCCTCCTTATTCATCGATGATCCTGCTTCCCAGGTACATGAATGTGTCCCACCACTTCCATAGTTCCGCCATTAGGTGTGATTGTGTTGCCGTTCTCCGTGTTGTATTTGAGAATCTTGCCCTTTCCTTTGTGTATGTTGAGGCCTATTGATGCAGAGGCTGCTGCCACATTTGCTGTCTTTGTCTGTATTTGTTCGTGTGTATGAGATAGGAGGGCTAGGTCATCTGTGAAATCTAAATCGTCTAATTGGTTGTGAGTTGTCCATTGTATTCCGTGCTTCCCGTCAGATGTCGAAGTCTTCATAATTTAGTCAATCACCAGAAGAAAGAGGAAGGGAGAGAGTAGGCAGCCTTATCTGACTCCGGTCCCTACCGGAAATGCATCTGTCAGCTGTCCTACACGACAGTAGGTAGAATTCGAAAGTAAATTCGTTTAACAAATTAAAAAATTAACCTGAAACTTTCACTGATTATTCGATTTGACTCTAAGTATTCCTGCAAAGAACTCTGATTTCTAACACTTCGAAAAGTAAAACTTTTCGATAAGAATTGTAGTTACTTTATATACAAATATTGAAGGTTACGAGACTTTATTACTTTACTTTAATTCTTATTTAGTGAACGCTTAAAACATAGTGAATCAATATTCCGTCTGTCTGAAGAAGTGGATAATCAAGTTAAACTTTCAGAAGAAGCAGCAAGAATTAAAGAAAGAGATATAGCAATGAAAAAATTTTCAGCTGAAATTGAAGCAAAATCAATACAAATCAAACAATTGAAATCAATGATCAAAAATCTAGAAGAGGTTAGAATAAGGTTTCATTTTTATTATATTATAATCTGTATTATGATTTGCCATTTAATAAAGTTTGTTCTATATAACTTAATCAAATCTAGCATGGATAGTAATAGTGTAGTGAACAAGACCATTAGTGGGGGACGATCAAATGTAGCTAGGTACGAAATTACAGAATATCTCACTAAAATCTGACAACCATACAGTGAATAGTTAATTTGCAACCTATCAATCAATTATCAGAAAGGGTTTTTGTGAAGATTTAGTGTTTTCAAAGTTGAAAGCTTTAGTCAATTGAAGCTAGATCACTAGGGAAAACCTGGAAGCAGTGGGAAGCCGTTTCGTCCTCATTGACTTCAAGAGATAAATCCTGGAGTTCCAGTGAGAATCAGCGACAAGTGGAGATCATTTCAGGTCTGTTGTGAAATAGGAATCCACTGAAGACAATTGGTGAACGGTTGCTTAACTTCTTGGATTGGTTGGAGTTAGACATTAACACCGTTGGATGCCGACCGGCTCAGTGGTCTATAGATTAAGTGCTCTGACGCGAGACTGGTAGGTCCTGGTTTCGGATCCTGTGAGACGTGGTCGTGGATGCTCACTACTGAGGAGTCTCACAATAGGACGAAACGGTCGTTCAGTTCTTCCAGGTTTTCCTTGGTGGTCTACCTTCAATTGACTAACGCTTTCAACTATCAATCGATTGTCTCAATTTTGACTGTTCCTTCAGCAAATATCCGTCCATTGTCTCTGATTTCATTGTTCACGCATTTTCAGATCAAATGTATTCCGTTCCCGTTCTTTCGTTATCAATCTTCTACTGAAATGCATTCAATGCCCGACCATCGTAATATACTATTTATATGGATATAAGTAAACCACATCACAATGGGATATGTCACACTTTACATTTCCAATTTTATATATATTCATTTACAAATCTTGTTTTTCCCATTTTTGTATATAGTAGTCAATCGGTTAAGTGCTCACGCACGAGACTGGTAGGTTGTTGGTTCGAATCTCGTGAGGCGAGATCGTGGATGCGCATTTCTGATGAGTCCCACAATAGGACGAAATAGCCGTCTAGTGCATCCAGGTCTTCCATATTGGTCTAGCTTCAATGGATTCATGATCTTAATTATATATAATTACTAACATTTCCACAAAATCCCCTTCTGATAGTTTAAATTGTTTAATTAGATTAATCAAGCACACACTTGAGCTTAAATGAATATGTGTTAGTTATTAAACTTTATTCCTCTTAAAAGTTTAGTTAGTAACATAAACTTGAGAAACTTTGAATGAGCATCTATTTTATCCTTCCTCTTTGAGACTAATTTATGAGCTCATATTCTTACTTAAAATGAGATTTTTTTTAAAGAAGCTCTTTATTCATTTAGTTGTTCTACTGATAAATCTACTTTCTACTTACTTACTTACTTACTTACGCCTGTTACCCCATGTGGAGGAGCATAGGCCGCTCACCAGCATTCTCCATCCAACTCTGTCCTGAGCCTTCCTTTCCAGTTCTTTCCAGTTAACATTCAGCCTTTTCATATCGGCTTCTATTTCCCGGCGTAGTGTGTTCTTTGGCCTTCCTCTTTTCCGCTTCCCTTCAGGATTCCAAGTTAGGGATTGAGTCGTGATGCACATTGGTGATTTCCTTAATGTATGTCCGATCCACTTCCAACGTCTTTTCCTAATTTCCTCTTCAGCTGGAAGCTGGTTTGTCCTCTCCCATAAAACGCTGTTGCTGATAGTATCCGGCCAGTGGATGTTGAGTATTTTGCGTAGACAACTGTTTATAAATACTTGTACCTTCCTGATGATGGCCGTAGTAATTCTCCACGTTTCAGCTCCATACAGTAGGACTGTCTTGACATTCGTGTTAAAGATTCTGACCTTGAAATTAGTTGAGAGTTGTTTTGAGTTCTATATGTTCTTCAATTGTAGAAATGCTGCCCTTGCTTTGCCAATCCTCGCCTTTACATCTGCATCCGATCCTCCTTGTTTATCAACGATGCTCCTCAAATACTTGAATGTTTCTTTCTACATTAACCAAAACTAATTAGCTTGAAAGCTTTTTACTTATAAGAATCCATCAGTATCAAGAGTTTTTATGTAGAAAAATTGTCAACTTCTGTTGATAGAAAAAAAAAGTCGATAACTGGTAATGAAGATGATATCTTATCTTAGATGTATATTGTATCTATTTAATTCATTATTAGGAGACTTTTGTGGCTCTATATCTGATTTCAGTAATATCGTATGATTGATTTTTATTGAAATATACATGTCACCAATCCTCGAAATATAATCATTGACATAAATTTCATTAGTGTATAACGAAATTAAATAAGTTCTTTATGAGAATGATTTTTGGATACGCATATTCTGTATAGTCGTTAATCAGAATAGACAATCAGAGAGATGGAGCGATGAAAAGTGAGCAAAGCAGAATGACATACAGTACAGAAGGCATGTGAACCTATTTGATTTAATCAAGCGTTAATCGATATTTATAGCCTGATAAAAATAAGTTACAGTCAAGCGATAAATAGGATAAAAATTGCACACATATACACTGATATGAAAACAGTTAGGGTTGATAAGCGGATAATTAACAAGGTCAAAATGTGACTCAAGAAAATGAGTAGATTGGTTTGTCCGAAAGCGAGAATAAGCATGTAGACTTAACATAACAACCGATACTACAATACCTTTCCGTTACTTCGAGAAAACTGTTAGAAATATATATACAATCAATGAATACTAACATTGAAAATGTTCTTAATGGTTTATGGAAGGATTCAAGATATCTGCATGTTATATAATTAATGATTTCACTGTATCTTAACTTATATTGGATTAGGATACGAGTTCACCCTTATAAAATAAGATATTCGTAGTTTTGAGATGGTGGAGAAGATTTGTAACTAAGGTGGGTGATTTTGATGTTGGTTTATTCTCTGAGCTGGATGGTTTGGTCGTGGAGCTTTTATAGTCCTTCTGAACGACATCATCAGCACAAACTTTGGGTAGAAGTAAAGTGTTTGAATTTCTCCGTAGTTTTTTGTATTACTTTCTATAAAAAGAAGCTTAAGATTTAAATGGAATGAAATAATGCTTCATTACAACTTGGTGTAATATCAGGATGACACACGTAAATCCATAATATATTTGCTTAAATACAAAGTGAAATCAAAGAGATATTTGGGTCTTGATGGAAGTAACATTATAATGAATTATGATTTAGGAACACGATGTACGCTTTTATCTGAGCTGTCAAAACTCTTGATTCATCTATTTTTTTTCTTTTCAAGTTCAGTATCATTCTCTTATCCTATTTCCATGCTCTTTTTCACTAAATGATGCAATGATTATACTCCTCAGCACAAGAACTGAGGTTCTTATGTTCGATCACAGGAAAATTCATGCATTTCTAACGGCAAATTGTTTTTAACCGAAACAAAATAACAATCCAATGTTTCATCGTTTAAAACATTATGTAAAAATTCTAGTAATCTACAACTAGACGGATTATTAACTTTAATAACTTTTTTTTATTTTTTATTTAAGCACATAAATATTGGTACAAAGGGGCATCAGATATATATGCGCCATACAAATCTCATTTAATTTGTGTGAGAGCTGTGAAACTGCCGAGGTGCCCAAACTGAAGCAGGTGGTTTACTTACAGGCCATCACCCGGAGCCTTTGACCTAAAAGTGTGATCCATAAGGCAGTGGAGCATCGTAAGGAAATGCAGTCATATGGTAACCGGTGACCAACGATTGATTCATATGCCAGTTGTTCCCTCAGGATCCTGGAGCCCATGTGCACCATTGGTTTGGAATCAGGGTTTTCCAACTTCCTTAGGTGGAATTTTCGTATCCAGCCACCCGGACAGTCGAGCTTTGTCCTCTCAATTTCATAAACAACAGTAATGCCACGAGAAGGTAGCTAGTAGGACTTCCCTGGTAGAGGCTATATAGGCATGGCCATGTCAGAGCATTTCATGAGAAAGCGCGGGCCCTCCCCACTTTCGGTCGTACCAAGGCACTTAGGGGCTACTTAAAGGAACCATAATATTTATATGTTCCACATAATAACACTTTCAATTCATGATAACTTAAAATATTATTGATTAACTTTAACCCCATAACCATTTCACTATATCTAATATAAAACCTGATCATATATAGTAATTTCATCATAGATCAGGTTTTACGATGAGAGTCTGTATTTCATCACACAATTTTTTTAACTTCATAAACTTATTCACATAACTACAGAAAGGCGAATAACAACAGAACTCTCAATTAAAATCTAAAATCATTTCTAAAACATTGACAGTTATCATCATCAGTATTATAAGCTTCCTTTATTAAGTATTGTTATGTCCTGATAACAATAGTGAATGGTAACTTTGGGATCCATTTATCAACCAATATTATGCATATTATTTCTATCGTATATTCGCTAAATAACAAAACTATTCATATTAGTGTTCCTCTTATTATTAGCTTTATTTTGATCTATAGACTATTATTATACGATTAACCATTCTTGAGTTATCCATAGTCTATTAATACCTGTCTCCCACATTCACAGTCACATTTGGTTAATTCTTTTACAAATGTTATTTTCCATTTTATTGGTACGATGTGGTCAGTCTGTTTGGTATATAAACTCAGTATGTTTGAAATAAAAGGATTCATACCACAGAGGCTGTTCTGGACTTAACTGCCTAGGCTAGGCAGAAGCAGGACCGATAAGTACTCTAGACTGCTCGTACGGTTTTTGTGTGTCACTGTTTCAATCGATAGTTCACTTCTCTCTGATTGACGGTTTTATCACATCATACATTAACAGGGCATCCACTTGATCACCAGATCATTGCTGAGAAGTCCCACAATAGGACGAAACGGCCGTCCAGTGCTTCCAGGTTTTCCATGATGATCTAGCTTCAATTGACTAATGATTTCAAGTATGATAAAAACTGCTGAAATTTCCACAAAACCCCTACTGATCTCAACTTATCTGTTTATTTACATTTTTTTTTTATATTAGCAAGATATATATCCAAATGAATTCAATCATCAAAATCTAATCTATAAATCCAATGAACAAGATGATTCACGTATTATTAAATTACAAATGAAAATTTTACAAATGAATCAAGAAAATTATAATTTAGAAGAACAATTAAATCATATCAAATTACAATTAACACAATCACGTTCAGAATTTAATGCTGTACGTCATAGTTTAAATAATAAAAATCATGAATTAGAAGAGTAAGTTGATGGAACTATGGTTGATTTATTCTGATTTCATTTGTTCATCTTGATAACCATTACTCGATATAATTCACAACGGTGTATAAATCAGAAGGTGAATATGAAGTATTGATTGCATATAGATATCCAAAATTACAAACACGTTAATAAATCATGAAAATGGAATCGAGTACATATGCGTCACACAAGTCAATTGATTTGTGTTTGGGCTGTGAAACTGACCGGATACCTAGATCGAAGCAAGTGATTTTCTTAGGGGGCCACACCCGGACCCTTTTACCTAAAGGTTTAATCCACAAGGCAGTGGAACAACGTTAGGAGATGCAGTCCCATGATAGCTGGTGACCAACAATTGGTTCATACGTGATTGGTTCCTTCGGGATCTTGAGTCACTCTCTCTAAAATGTACAAATTATTGAATAACTTTGAGTGGTAATCTTTATTTGGGTAATATTCACTTTTCTCAATGAAGTGAAATCCGAACACGAATGTTGATATGAATTATAAACTATAAATGTAACGAATCGATTCAGTCAGTCAGCTACAACGTAGAACCAGGCATACATATGCATCGGTCCAAGTTGCCACACCTCATTAGCACAACAAGATGAACACCAAATTGAAAGAAGTAGTTAATTTATTGGTGGTAATGTTTAAAAGAAAGATTGCATATAAGGATATAGTACAGGAAGAAAGACAGATATGAGGCCATTTTAATCTCAAGGTTTAAGTGAAGATAAAGAGTGTATACACCTACATCATTGTGATCGATTCTGAGCCATGTCACCTAGAGTCTCCAACCATTGGTTACGATAGTCACGTGGACCCCAACTAAGTAGTCTGCATCTACCGACATGGCTCAAACTAGAAGTTAGTGACTTCAATGACTGATGTTACGTTTTGGTCTGGCCGCCCCATAACTTCCTTCCATTAGTCTCCAACACTAGTCAGCATTGAGCGCCGTGGCAATCGGTGTTCAGATATACTTAACAACACGTGGCCTAACCATCTCAGTTGATGAAATTTCATAATCTCATCAAGTGATTTACCATCATTCCCTAATCGATTGTAATAATGCTTTGACAAAAATGAATTTTTTTTTCACAATTTTTATAAAAAATTTTGTATTATCCAATATCTCATATTTCAAATATTATTTTAGAACTTGTATTATTTTATATAGACGTATGACTGCCTTGATTGAAACTGTCAAAGAGAATTCTGCATTAAAACGTCAAGTTGGAGTACTTCAGTAAGTTTGATTTGCATTTTTTTCGTTGTTGAATGATTAATGACTAGAATGAATTATTATAGGGGAATTCTGCTATTAAATCAAATATTGTTGTTTTTCCAGAATATCATATTACATTTTGGTAAAACCTAATTCATTTTTGGTCTTCTTATAAGACATTTTGATTTATAAATGGTTAGTAATCTTAGATATATGTTCCTATCCATGGGGATAGTGTGCTACTTATATCGACATAAGTAGTATATGACACTAATCAGGAACAGAATGTCTGAAAACAGAAGCTCAAGAAGATCAAGGAGAAAGGAATGCTTACAGAAAGCAATTGGTATGGAAATGCAAGAACATGGAAGACTAAAAGTATCGACTGATATTCAAAAAAGGAACAGTCAAGTTTGAGACAATTGACTGACAATGCATGATTCTCAAATTTTCAGAGTTGAAATCATGAGTCAATTGAAGATAGACCACCATGGAAAAACTGAGAGCACTGGACGGCCGTTTCGTCCTATTGTGGGACTCCTCAACCACGTCTGTTGTGAGGTAACAACTCACTGAAGGCAATTGGTGAACGGTTGCTAAAACTTCGTGGACTGGTTGAGGCTAGACATTAACACCGTTGGATGCCGGCCAGCTAAATGGTCTATCGGTTAAGGGCTCTGGCGCGTGACTGGTAGGTCCTGAGTTCGAATCTCGCTCGCAAGGCGGGATCGTGGATGCGCACTGTTGAGGAGTTACGCAATAGGACGAAACGGCCACCCAGTGCTTCCAGGTTTTCCATTGTGGTCTAGCTTCAATTGACTCATGACTTCAACTATTAAAATACTGAAATCTTCACAAAACCCCTTCTGATTATTCTCAAATTTCTTTGAGGGGTTCTGGAATTTTGTGTACAACTACATTCAATTGTCCGCATTTGTGTTCTCATTCACTACAATAGGCATGAAAATGTAAAAATAAAAGGTTCTTTTTAGTAAGAAAACTTTTGATACCGACATCATAAAACTTAGTCAACTTACTGTGCAATAAGATTAAATTATAAATTTAGATAAATAATAGAGATCGAAGCAAAACTCTGGATACATGATTTATGCTAGTTCGTACTGGTAAGTAAGTTTCATCTGAAATCTTATGAGAACAGAATCTCACCCTCACTGTGGTGTAGTCTACTTATATCCATATAAGTAGTATATGGTGATGGTCGAACATAGAATGTATTTTGGCAGAAGACCGATAAGGAAATGACTGAAATGAACCGCAATCGGTAGGAAAATGCACAAACAATGAAATTAGAGAAGATGAACTGATATTTACAGAAGGAACAGTGAAGATTGAGATAATTGCTTGTTATTTTGCAAACTAACTTTTCATTGTATGGTTATCAGAATTTACTGAGATAGTCTGTAATTTGTGTTTAAATGCATTCGATTTTCCCTAGTTGTGTCTTGTTCACTACATCATTACCAAACAACGGAGTCTGAAGACTTTAACCCATTGCTAACTTGTTATTGAATCAAAATATCTCTAATGATTCATCACTAAGATGTAACGAATGTAATATACCACATTCTTTGAAGTAATCACCTTTCAAAATATTTTAGTTTAAATGCTTTCTTCCATAATCAGAGATGAATGATGGCTAGCAATAGAATCCATGACTCACATTTCGTCTTTTATAATTTAAAAGTAATAACTTTAGTGGGACAAAATCATGATGAAATGATTCATCGGTAATTTTCATATACTAGTAGCTAAATAATAAATACTAATTAAGCGACACATCTCATTTAGCTTTTATGAGCATGACCTGAGTTACGGATATAAAATATTTAAATTCAACATCTCTAGTAGAATTCATAATATGAAATGATTCCTTATTCAAAATGCAACTGTTATAACTTGTAGCCGTGTGGATGCCCTGTTAACGTACGACGTGATAAGACTGTCAATCAGAGAGCAGCGATTTATGTATTGGAACAGTAACACACGTAAACCGTACGAGCAGTCAAGAGTACTTGTCGGTCCTGCATCTGCCTAGACCAGTCAGTTAAGTCCAGAACAGCTTCTGTGGTATGAATCTTTATATTTCAAATATACTGAGTTTATATACCAAACAGACAGACCATATCGTATCAATAAAATAGAAAATAACATTTGTACAAGATTTAGCCAAATGTGACTGTGAATGTGGGAGGCAGTAATTAATAGAGAAGGAATAACTCAAGAATAGTAAATCATATAATAATAGTCTATAGGTCAAAATAGAGCTTATAATAAGAGGGACACGAATATGAATAGTTTAGTTATTTAGCGAATATACGATAGAAATAATATGCATAATATTGGTTGATAAATGGATCCCAAAGTTACCATTCATTATCCTTATCGGGGCATAACAGCAACAGTTTTTGATGGATACTTTTTTATTTCTATTGAAATTTTTTCATGACATTGATGTCTGGGTTTTTTATGAAATGATCTCAATATACTGCTGAAGGATCTACATTTTAACAAAGCAAATACTGCGGTATATATGTATCTGTTTGGGGGTTGCTTTAATTAATTATTGATTTATGTTTATTGTTCAATGTAATCAAGTATGTCTATGAAAAACTTAAGGTCTGTAGTGTCGATCAGTGTTATCGATATATATATATTCCTCTTCATCCTTTGAATAAAAGGACTCAAGGGTAACACAAGTTAAATTAGTCAGAAACGTATGCAAGTGAAGATAAGTACTTTCAAAATTTGTTTGTTTTGACAATTCACAAATTAGATAGATAATATTGGAGGTAACTCATTTCAATATTGCTTTGTTTTATATTAAGGTTTCTGTTGCGTAATCAAATATCTGATATATAAAATATAAAGAATACTGTCTCTTGAGTCTTATTTTTACAGAATACATCAAGAACTGATCTTAGAGAACCATGGAAAACAAGTTCTTAACCTCTAAACCCCTGAGCTGGCAACCAACGATGTATACGTCCAACCAATCAATTCGCGATACTGTTACTTACTCACTTTCGCCTGTTACTCCCAACGGAGCATGGGCCGCCAACCAGCATTCTCCAATCCACTCTGTCCTGGGCCTTCCTTTCTAATTCTATCCAGTTTTTGTTCATTCTTCTCATGTCTGTCTTTATTTCTGGGCGTAATGGTGATACTGTAAGACCATCTTTTATTGAATGTGATGAATAACTGTCACATACCCGATATGGTAAAATCCCATTTCTCATGACTTCTCACTAGATCTCCTGGAATAACATATTGAAACTTGGCAACACAAAATTATTGTTAGTATGGTAGACTTGGATTTTCATAGATTACATCGCTGACTGACCTTAGTTAGTCTATGCTATTTAAAGTATTGTATATCCTAGCTTTTAAATTTTGGGCTAATAACCGAATATCGTCTCTCATAATAAATTATACAAAAATAATTACCTTGAAGATGATTTTGTCAACACCGATTTGGTTAAGTTTACTTCACAGTTTTAATGAACTGGTCCAGTTTATACTGCAAACAACTGAAACATTGAGCCACATTATTTTCAATAATTTACTTATTCGTATACTTTATTTTGACTAAAGCGGTAACTTTTGGGGTTTTACTATCGTTTTTTTCTTACTTTTCAAGAGATATCAACAGAAAGTTATATGATGCTAATGATGATTTTTACAATATGTTTGAAAGTTACCCGGAATGGTTACGTAAAGAATGGAAAGTTGAAGATATCAAACCAGCTTCCCCAATGATTGATTCCAGGTTTCGACGAACTTCAACAGAATTTAAACCAATCAAGTCAGTTGTAAAGAAGTTTAATGCACATGATTGTGAGGCAAACATTTCAACTTACGCGTCCTGTAAAAGTGATCAAACAGAAGAGTTAAGACCTTCATCATATGGAAAAGGTTACTGTGTTATGTCAAGATGTGACCAACCAGATTGTTGCTGTTCGAAATTCCATGGTAATGGAGGTAATCAATTAATTCTCATGAATCAAAGTTCAATAAAACTAATTACTGAAAAAAAAACATATACTTGTCATTCAGAGGGGACCAGGTGATCTGATCAGGAATACATAAATTAAACATTTAATATCCATAAAAACAGTAACTATGTTTTATTATTCATCAATTGTATAAGCGAATAAAGCTGATTCTACAACCATGAAAGGCTAGCTATTTTACTATTTTGTCATAGATAAATAATCGAATTTCCTGATGAGAAAAAGTAGATGAATTACTACATGTAGGATTTGTAAAGAACATAATGATAGTGCAGTTACCGCTCAACAAGCTATCAACAACTCTTGAATAGCATTACCTTAATAAGCGTTAGTGGATTAATATAATCCATACTAAATTGATCAATCAATCACCTAGTCAGAGGTCATCTAAAGGACATTCATTGTGTATCCAAGGATAAACTAAGACACCTTATATTGCAAAAACAATTAAGGAAACAAGATAAACTTATTTGTCCCTTACAGAATAGTTAAATGAATCACTTCCAAACTAATTGAGTAGCTCAGAAAATTGCGAAACCATCAACAGTGCTTGAGTATTTATGGATGTATTATACAGGACATACAGATATATAGAATGTGTTTAAGCAGAAATTACAGACTATCTCACTATATTCTCATAACCATACAGTAAACAGTTAATTTGCAAAATAACAACCAATTGTCTAAATCTTGACTGTTCCTTCTGAAAATATCAGTCCATCTTCTCTGATTTCATTGTTTATGCATTTTCATACTGATTGGGCTTCGTTCCTCTTCATTCATTACCGATCTTCTGCCAAAATACATTTTATGTCTGACCATCACCATATACTACTTATGTGGTTATAAGTAACCCATACCACAGTAGTCCCTGTTTTATGGATTTATAGTACATTTCTACAAAAACATGAAGAATTCTATTTCAATTGTGAAACAATTCTAAATTGTTAGGGATGTGTGTCATTTAAAAGAAAAGAAGAATGCAATCCTACCATCGGTTTATGTCTAAATATTCCATAATCATCAAATCCCTGGAAACGTTTCTGTATTTGAAGAAAGTTATTTAATCAGAGATGAATAGCGGCTAGCAGTGGAATCCAATTTGACGCGCGTCTAGTCTTATTTCGGACTCGTCAGCTGGATGTACCTGCATCTCAGAGTTGATATCCCCTCTGGGACTCGAACCCAGTAACTTTCGCTTCAAACGCCATCGCGTTATCCACTCGGCCACTTGTTTGTGCAATGGGGTGAAGTTTGAATTCACTTAGTATTGTTTTGTTTGAATCTTCCCATTGATGTTTTAGGACTGCAACTGGTCAATCTCTAACATCAACTCTGAGATGCAGGTACATCCAGCTGACGAGTCCCAAATAGGACGAAACACGTGTCAAACTGGATTCCACTGCTAGCCACTATCCATCTTTGCTTACCATGCTTGTGAATTTAGGCTACATCGATGCAATACTCACAGTATGCATATATGACAATTAGAGACTGACCCGTTGCAGTCTAAAAACATCAATGGGAAGATTCAAACAAAACAATACTAAGTGAATTTAAGTTTATTAATGTTTTTTCATTCTTATTATTTAAAGGAAACGTTATTTATTTATACCATAAATATATATTCTATAGATAATGGATTATCAAATTGTATGAATGCAAATGAAATCGAATCTGACAAAGAATCAAAGTATCATAATGTGAAACAACAAAATTTATGGGTAAGCCATTTCTAATATAAGTATTCAATAATAAATATATAATGTTATTGGACAGAGTAACGATAAGCAATAACAGGCAAACTATTGTAATGCTCGAATAGTTTAAAATTATTGATATCCAGATACTTAATTTAGATTTAACTATATAGATCAGATCAGATTATTAAACATAGGTTCATGTTGCTTAGATAAGTGTTATCATGTTTAGCGAATTCGGGGATTTAGAACCGTTTCTCATAAACTGAACTGACGTTAAATATATCGTTTCTGAGTCGGTTTCATCAGTTTAACTTAGGGACATTTACTTTTGTAGGGTCATATTTGCTGCATGAAGATTACATTTTATATTTCCTCTTCATTTACTGATCACAGAGTAAACATTGATATCCGCACATGAAAAATTTTTGTTCAATCTGAATATTTATACATTTATCACAAATTACTAGAATACATTGGACATATAGTTGAGATCATGAGTCAATTGAAGCTGGACAACCATGAAAAATCTGGAAGCACTGCTTGACGGCAGTTTCGTCATATTATGTGACTCCTCAACAGTGTGCATCCACGATCCCGCCTCGTGAGATTCGAACCGAACACCTATGAGTCTCGCGCCAAAGCACTAAACGGATAGACCACTGATTCGGTCGGCATCCAACGGTGTTAATGTCTAACTTCAACCAATCCACGAAATTGCGTGACCAACTTCCATTGTACTGAGGTAGATACCTATCTCTACCTGACATGGATTAGCTCTACTGGTCACGACTTCTCACTAGAACTCAAGGAATTACCTCATGGTGCCAGTCACTAGTAAGCATATGATCATTATAGGACATATTCAACAGAATATATTTGTTTTAAGTATCTATAAAATAAGATCCTCATTTATTGGCAATAAGAAATGACTTTAATGTGATGGAAGCTATAAAATGTTTAAAAATCTAAAACAAGGAAAAAATTAACGTTCATTACCCTTAGCATTTCATTGATTTTCTTTTAAACTTTTTTTCAACTAAAACTAAGTTTCCTATTGTGGAATAAAAAAACAAGACTATTTTCATTCACTACTTATACTTCATATGTTGATAAACTAATTTTATGTACATATTGTGTTATATTGTGGTGTGGTCTACTTATAAGTAGTATATGGTGTTGGTCAGACATAGAATGTATTTTGGCAGAAGACCAATGAGGAAAGAACTGAAATGAACCGCAATCGGTAGGAAAATGCATGAACAATGAAATTAGAGAAGAAACAGTGAAGATCAAGACTATTGGTTGTTAATTTGCAAATTGACTGCCCATTGTATGGTTATCAAAATTTACTGACATAGTCTGTAATTTTTGCTTAAATACATTCGATTGTCTCCAACCGGCGTTTTGTTCACTACAATATCCCGGAGAGAATTATGGATGGTAACTTTTGAGGACTATTCATAGACCAATATAATATGTATATTTCCTATTGTATAACTGTTAACTAAGCAAATTATTCATATTCGTGTCCCTCTTATTATAAGCTTTATTTTGACCTATAGACTATTATTATATGTTTTGCCGTTCTTGAGTTATCCCCAGTCTACCATATATTATCTCCCTTATTCGTAGCCACATTTGGCTAAATCTTGTACAAATGTTATTTTCTATTTTATTGATACGATATGGTCTGTCTGTTTGGTATATAAACTCAGTATATTTGAAATATAAAGATTCATACCACAGAAGCTGTTCTGGACTTAATTGACTGGTCTAGGCAGATATCAGGACCGACAAATAATCTAAACTGCTCGTATGAGTTTCATATGTCATTGTTCCGATCGATAATTCATTGCTCTCCAACTGGCAGGAATCATCACGTCGTATATAAACAGGGCACTTAGGTATACAAGTTATAATGCAATGAATGCAATACTATAAAATATCAACTATATACATACTAATTTTAACAGAACTAACTATTATTAGAAATTTAATTAAGCTATTGACATAGTTTCCAAACTTTTTCCCGACTATTTTGATAAAGTTACATTTTATTTTTTCTTTCTATATTTATAGAATTTTCTAATTATGTATCAATGATTTTGTACAACAAACAACTTAACAAACAATCATGACAGTAATTGTTTTATTAGTTTTATTCTAAATCATTGAAGCTATTAGATATTTTATTTTCATTTAAAAACTATAATTGGATAAAAGTAAAGACGTATAGTATCTAGTGGGACGCACATTTCGTCCTTTTTTGGACTCAGCCAAATGTACCTGCATCTCCGAGTTAATGTTCACTCTACGACTCGAACCCAGTACCTTCGCCTTCAAACGCTATCACGTTAAGCACTTAGCTACTAAGTCATGAAAGACACCTGCTTGTGCAACTAGGTGAAGTTTAAGTTCACTTCGTATTGCTTGTTTGAATCTTCCCATTGTTATTTAGGACTGCAATTGATCAGTCTCTTATTCGTATATGTGCATCTTATGCGGACTGCCTCGATATTTCCTGAAGTCACACAAAAGCAATAATGGATAGTGGGTAGCAGTGGTATCCACTTTGTCGCGCATCACTTCGTTTTATTTGGGACTCATCAGCTAGATATACCTATGTATATATGTCTATGCATCACTGAAGAATTGGAAGCACTTATAACTATTATGTAAATCTTCCATGACAATAATCTTTGTTAGTGATTACTTCACTCGTGGACTCGAACCCAGTACCGTGATGTAAAAGAAATCATCCTTCCAAATATATTATGACTTTCTTTACAACTTTTATAAAATTATTATAGTATGTCTATTTTAAAAGTATGAAGAATAGATGTCATTTATTAGTTAACATTGATCTTGAAGTCACTAACCTCTAGTGTGAGCCATGTTGATAAATACAGACTACTTGGTTAAGGTTCGTGTGACTATCGTAACCAATGGTTGAAGACTCTAGGTGATATATATGTCACATATGTCTTTCTTCTTGTACTATATCCTTATATACAACTTTTCTTTTATATATTACCACCACTACATTAACTGATTCTATGAATTCGGTGTTAATCTTATTATGCTAACGAGGTATGGCAACTTGAACCAATGCATATATGTTGTAGTTGACTGACTTGATTTACTAATATTCATTTAACTTTCAGAATTTATAACAAGGAACTAATCTTTTCAAAATATCTGTTTATAAAAGATTTCATATTGATTTTATTGAATTATTATTAATTTTTTTCCCATGAATGTAATTTGAATCTCTTAGCAACTAAAGGAATATTTTTTTAGTTTTTTTTATGGAAAATATTTCTTCGATTTATTTGTTTTTCAGATTAAAATGAAAGTGTAAAAATAGATAATATTGATTATATTATTTTCTTTAAATAAGGTAAAATGATTAAAATATTATTTAGATATTTTATTAGTAGTATAACCAGTTCATGTTAGAATATTCCTTTGATGAATATCATTTATTTGTTTATTGAGTGTCTTAATATTAATGTATTATTTAATGGTCATTGGTTGAACAATAGTTTTATCTTCATAGTTGAAAGCATGAGTCAATTAAAACTAGATCACCATAAAAACTTGGAAGCACTGGACGGCCGTTTCGCTCTATTATAGGACTCCTCAGCAGTGCGTATCCACGATCTTGCCTTTGCGTGGTCTAGCTTCAATTGACTAACACTTTTAACTATGAAAATACTAAATCTTCACAAAATACACTTTCTGATATTAATAGACTTATCTACATTAATATACCATAAATGTCATCATTTATTACTATAAAGTAGTTTTTAAATGATAATCCTATCGCTATTTTAAATGGATATTACTATTGTACATTCTTGTCAGTAGTAGGACTTCCAAAACAGTAATGTGTTATGATAAGTGGAGTTAAAGAATCTTGAATGAATCAATCATCGATCCATTCATGATTTTAAAAACTCTCTCATAAGAATTGAGTCTATGCATCACTGAAGAATTGGAAGCACTTATAACTATTATGTAAATGTACCATGACAATAATCTTTGTTAGTGATTACTTCAATTTGACCTATTGATTACACATAATTAAGTAGACCTAACGTGAAATAATTAAACAACTAAGCTGTCCTCAATTTAAGTCAAATGTTTTTTTTTTTTTTTAACCATTGTTAGGAATAAAAAACCCCAAGTACTGTTGAAATGAAGAACAACAGCGTCTAAGGGCGAAAAAAAACACATTTGACATAAAAGATGACCGAAATTTCACAAACCTGTCACATAAAACTGTATTATACTGAAATTCCTGGTTTAAAAAATTGGGTCTTTTCAGTTTACAATATAACTTGTACAAGAACCCTCGTGCATATACACGTTGAGGATATTTAAAAAAGGTGATAAAATTGGTTTCTATTGCTTATGAGTCATATTAATAAATCGTGAGAAACATCATATTCTCTACTGGAAATCTTTTGCCCTGTGACGTTCAAACTGTAAACATATACTTTTATCCTATGAGCTTTTAACTCTTTAATAGAATGAAAACAGATGCATTTGTCATTTATTTGTCCTGGATGTATTTCAATGTTTTAGTTATTTTGTTTATCTTTTTTATTTTTTTTAATTATTAATATAACAATATTCTTTCTTGTTTAACCCCACATGATACTAATTTAATGTGTTCTGCCAAATTCTAATCTTCTGAATTCTTCATGGGCTTTTCTTTTTACTTTTTCCAAATTTATTTCACTGAATTATGCCTCTTTCAAGAACATCTTCAAACACTATTTTTTCAGTTTAGTGATTATACTCTTACTACTTCTATCACTATGGGATTTGAATCGACAAGTGCATCTGTGTGTTAATGTGGTATGTCAACTCGAACTGATGTACGTACGTACGAAGTTCTACGTTGTCACTGACTGACTAATGATGAACCAGATCTGTTGAGAGATATGAACTCACTATACGGCGGCCTGCTTGAATCCCTGGGCTACCTGTTTCCGCCATCTAAATATTTCAACAAGTTATCTGGGTTTTTTAAATTTGTTTTAATCTATCATTATGTCTCTTGATCGCATAACCTATACAGGCGCATTTATGAAAAGCTTACGTCCTTTCGCTGCAAAAATTACAAACAAGTACAATAAGAGACATCGTGGTGTTTGGCAATATGCTTTAGAGAGAATAAACATTAATCAAATGTCGATTTTCGAGCTGCTTAACTCTAACTGTCGATCTCTAATTAACAAGGTGGACTATCTACGATTTCTGCTAAGTCAAAACATGTATCGTAATTGTGGTGTCATCACAATTCAAGAATCTTGGTTGACTGACTTACAGGATGATTGCCTAGTATCATTTTAATATCTATCGTCAGGATCGATGAAACAATAAAGGGACTTGTGGTGGCACAGTAGCTACTGGTTTTATGTTTATTTTTGTTTTGTTTTTGTTTTTTGGTAAAAAAAAACTTGTTGAAATAACTCGTGCTGAGAATTCTATGTTGTACCAGATTATAATATTGAATAAAGCCATTAATTAAAAAAAAAAAAGACATTGGTGAATGGTTGCCCAATTTCCTGGATTGGTTGAAGTTAGACATTAACACCGTTGGATGCCGCCTGGCTCAGTGGATTAGTGGTTAAGTGCTCTGGCGCGAGACTGGTAGGTCTTGGGTTCGAATCTCACGAGGCGAGATCGTGGATAAGCACTGTTGAGGAGTCCTACAGAGGGACGAAACGGCCGTCCAGTGCTTCCAGGCTTTCCATGATGATCTAGCTTCAATTGACTCATGATTTCAACTGTATAAAAAAGTTAACTGAATTTTTGAAATAATTTAAATTCTAGATGTAAATATTTTAAAAATTCAAGTGAAAGTAGGATGGTTAAATTTTAATTTTTTTAAAAAACAGTGACGAATATGAAACTACTTTAAACATACTTACGCTTGTTACCCCTCGTTGAGGAGTATAGGCTACCCACCAGTATTCTCCATTCAACCCTGCCCTTTACAATCCTTAAACAACTTTAAAACATTATATATATTGATGTTTTTCAATACATAAGGCATTTTGTTAAATTTGACTAAGCTATAATCATTATGTATTCATTCAATTTCCTGCAACTAATTCTGTAGTATATACTGAACAAAAGAAAAATATAAACAATTCACCGATTGTTAAACTTGAATAATACAAAGACAATTAATATAGCAGGATTAGGTAAATTGATTTATTCTAGGGATTCTCGTCAGCTGATTACAACTTGAAAACCGTAGTAATAATTCACTTAGTATTGTTTGTTTAAATCTTCCCATTGATGTTTTTGGACTGCAAATGGTCAGTCTTTAATTGGCATGCGCGAAAGGTACTGGGTTCGAGTCCCGGAGTGAACATCAACTCTGTCATACAGGTACATCCAGCTGACGTGTTCCAGATAGGAAGAAACGCGCGTCCTGGATTTCACTGCTAGCCGCTATTCATCTTTCCTTACCAGTAGTAATAATTATTTATTATAACCGGTGTACATACTAGGTATCACATTAATGAGAATTATTAGATTGACGACAATAAGTATGGATGAACTATAGAACGCTGAAGTGAACGAATATTTGTGTTACTAACTGTGGAAATCCTTGAGGAGAAATTTTTGGTAATACATGGAGACAGATTTCCGAAGGATGAATATTGATGTCAAAGTTACGTAATAACTACAAACTTTGACATAACATTAGGGTAAGACGAATAAAGCTGTTGTTGGTATTCTACTGATCTCCAATAATGTGATATATGTATTATTTATATCAGTTATAAATAATTATTACTGCTGTTTCTAGGTCATAAGCAACTGACGAGAATCCACGAAATGTATTTCACTCTATTCTGCTACGCTTAATGTTCTTCCTCTATTCAATAACATTTTGATTGAATTTTATCTTACTTAAATATTCGTCAGTAGTCTAGAGAATTATGTAAAAACGTCTCCGCAGATTTAATAGCATCATGATAATAGTTGAGGCTAAGAGGATAAATACGGAACGTGAATAAGTAATTGACAAATCGTTTATTGATCAGAGGGGGGTTTTGTGGAGAATTTAGTATTTTCACAGTTGAAATCATGAGTCAATTGAAGCTAGACTACCATCGAAAACCTGGAGTTTTAGTGGGAAGCAGTGGCCAGTGGAGTTCTACCAGGTCTGTTTTAGAGATATGAGCTCACTGAAGACAATTGGTGAACGGTTGCTCAAAATCGTGGATTGGTTGAAGTTAGACATTAACACCATTGGATGCCGGCTCAGTGGTCTATCGGTTAAGGGCTTCGGCTCGAGACTGGTAGGTCCTGGGTTCGAATCTCGCGAGTGCGGGATCGCAGATGCGCACTGTTGAGGAGTCCCATGATAGGACGAAACGGCCATCAAGCAGTGCTTCCAGGTTTTCGATGGTAGTCTAGCTTCAATTGACTCATGATTTCAACTGTGAAAATCGTTTATTAACGAATAAACAAGACAAGAATTTATAGCCATTCGTAAATCATATGATAATTCACATGAACCCCGACCCCAGTTTATTTTATTAAAAGGTGTAAGTACTGTTACATTATGTTATTTGGAAATGAGTGTAAGTTAGGCAAAAACTATTATTTTCAATCTGATTTTAATCCTTAATTTTACACACTAGATACGATACTAGATCTGATTATCTTTATCTCACTCTACTAAAGTATTATTATTTATGTATGTTTCACCGTTGATTTCACTAATTTCTGTTGACAAACCGATGGTGAATTAAAACAAACCAATCTTTATCGTTATTTATCAACGTTCGAACTTACTCCTTGTCTAATTCATATGCATAGTCTACCTAATTCATCATAATAACCGAAAAATGCTTTATATAGTTAAAATCATGAATCAATTGAAGCAAGGCCACCATGGAAAACCCGGAAGCACTGGACGGTCAATTCATCCTAATTATGGGACACCTAAATTTTGTGGATTGGTTAAAGTTAGACATTAGCACCGTTGGATTCCAACCGGCTCAGTGGTCTAGAGATTAAGCGCCCGCACGCGAGACTTATAGACCGTGGGTTCGAATCCCGCGAGAGTGGGTTCGTGGATGCGCACTGCTGAGAAGTCTCATACTAGGATGAAACAGTCGTCCACTGCTTCTAGGTTTTTCATGGTGGTCTAGCTTCAATAGACTCATGATCTCAACTATATATATATATATATATATATATATATATATATATATATTTCTTTTGTTTTACTTCTATAAAAGGAGAATTCCGGAAACCAAATGAAAAATAATGAAAAATATGAAACACAGAATAAATCCTATTCAATAGGATCTATTCATTCATCAAATGAATCTACTAGTCAATCAACTGTATATCATTTAACAAAACATATTGATCATGAAAATTCTTATCATAAAATGGATTCATTTAAAAAATTAAATAAAAAAATTTCAACTATAAAAAACATTCAATCTAACAAAATTGTATCCGATGAAAAATTAAGAATTTTTCGAATTATGTTAGCTGGTGATTCAGAAGTTGGTAAAACAAGTTTATTAATACGTATGTGTGATGATATATTTAAAAATTGTTCAGTTACTATAGGTAAGTAAATTATTTTAGAGAAAAGGGGGGCACCATATATTTATTTAAATATATAAATATTGGTACAAAGGGGTACCAGATATATATGTGCACCGCACAAATCTCATTTGATTTGTGTGAGGGCTATGATATTGATGGGGTGCCTAAACCGAAACAGGTGGTTTTCTTAGGGAGCCACAACCCGAACCATTGACCTAAAGATCTGATCCACAAGACGGTGGAGCATCGTGAGTAGATGCAGTTCCATGGTAGCCGGTGACCAACGATTGATTCATACACCATTTGCTCCTTCAGGATACTAGAGCTCATGTGCACCATTGGTTTGGAATCAGGGTTTTCTAACTCCCCTAGGTAAACTTTCCGTGTCCACCAACCCGGTTAAATCGCCGGACATTCGCTTTCCGTTCTCTCAATTGCGTAAACAACACCGTGGACACGAGAAGTTAGTGAGTGAGCCTTCCCTGACAGATGCTATATACGCGTGGCCATATGAGATCATTTCTAGAAGGAGAGTGGACTCTCTCTACTCTCGGCGGTACCAGGGCATTTCGGGGCATTTTTAATGACATTTAATGTTTGTACACATGAAAACATTTAATTGTGTGTATTATGTCAGAAAAAAAACGTTTATCTCAACTCACAGCGAAATCTGTATATGTAATAGATGAGTGAATGACTATGAATTTTACAATGATAATTAGATATTTTAGTAGTAACCGACAATATCTTATTATAGACTGATTTATTATATCAAAAACAATTGATTAAGTCATTAAAATCAATTAGAAGTCTTAAGCAAAATTGGCAAGTGGCTAGGAGTGAAATCAAGGACTCATGTTTCGTCCTACATCGCACAGTTGACGTTCATTTGGGACGCGAACCCAGTATCATTCGCTTCAAACGTCATCCAGATGATGAGTCCTAAATAAGACGAAACCTACGTTCTCGATATCACTGCTATCCACTATCCATCTTTGCTTATGATGCTTGTGAATTGAGGCTATATGGAGGTAATACGAACAGTATGCACATATGCCGAAAAGAGACTGATCAACTGCGATCATAAATATCAATGGGAAGGTTCAATTTAACAATACCAAGTGAATTTAGAAGTCTTAAATTATAATTTACTGGAAAAAAGTATGTAGTATGTTATATCTCGTTAGCTTGTGAATACTCAAAAAAAATATATGCATAAAAATATAATCAGTAAACCGAAAGACTAGGGTTTGAAGATGTTATTCAAAATGTATAATCCAGTGAAATAAATTCGGAAAGAGAAAAAGATAGAGACATGAAGAATTAAGAAGATTAGAATTTGAGAGGACACTAGGAGTGGATGCACCGTCGCCATTGCAAACGATTTTGAGTCATGTCATTTAAGGTCTCTAACCATCGATTGCTATCATCTCGCGAGTCCCAACCACGTAGTCTACACCTACCAACATGACTCAGTCCAATTGTCAGTGACTTCATAGATTTGTGCCACGTTTTGGTCTGGCCGTCCCTAGCTTTCTTCCAACCTACTTTTACACCATAAGACATCACAAGTCGGGGAAGCCAGTGGTTGGGCATACGTCATACAAGGAAATATACAAAGACCCCAACTTATTATAAGCGTTTATAATATGTATTTAAATGATTAGTTTTTACTCAAGAAATTATGTAATGCCAAATAGCTTTTTTTATTTTTAGAATCAATGGCATTAGGTTTGTGTAAAACATACTTTCTGAAAATGAAAGTTAAAGTTAAATAATAGAATGATTGTATAACTTAACAAAATAGCTGTCAAGATTTTACTGCTTTTCAGTTTCTATTCAATAAACATTTTTCTTTTAATAGTTGAATCCCTCGCGCGGGATGGTGGACACACACTGCTGAGGAGTTCCATACTAGGACGAAACTACAATCTAGTGTTTCCAGATTTTCAATGGTGGTCTAGCTTACAATGACTCATGATCTCATTTATTTAAATTAATACAATTTCCACGAACTCCACATGCTGATCAAAATATTTTTCTACCATAAAAATAAGTTTCTCGATTGCTTAACTCTTTGGAACTGTCAATTTCACGATCATTATTTATAGGAACATGAAATCAGTCATGAAAGTGGAGTGACTATAATGCTGTATCAATCAACATTTCACTTAAATCAATGTACTTATCGAGAACTTCACCATTACAAACCTATTTCTTATAAAGTAAATGGATTATAGTGAATGGAATATTTTATTTACCTTACATTGAAGTGTCCTTACTGAATTACATTACTACTAATCAAAGTGATAACTATTTTCTTGACTTGCATAGTTGACGTTTGTTTTTTTTCAAAATACAACTAGGTATTGATGTGAAAATGAAGTCTGTAGAAGTGGATGGCAGAAAAGCAATGATGCAAATATGGGATACTGCTGGACAGGAAAGGTAGGTTTTTAAAAGAAATTTAAATAAGGTTAAATATTTGTCATTAAGGTAAATGAAAATGATCAATTTTAACCATTTGAAATGATTCATATTTTGATTGTTTGATAAAACCCAACAAAGGATGACTAGTGTTTCTTGAATCTTACTACCTGTTGGACAAAATATGGATGAACTTGTAAGCATAGATAACATTGAGGGTTCCACTCAAACTATAGAGAAGCAACATGTGATTTAACAACCTGTTGGCTTATACTTCAGTGTTTGTAAAAATCAATACTGTGCCAAAAGTAATACCGGAATGCATTTACCTTCGTTTGAGGAGGTACAAAGTGCACAAAATTCAAAGACTGGATAGTAGTGTTAATCACTCGCTCCAACATAAATAACAGCGAAAAACCTGCGACAAAAATCAATACCAAAATAAAATCTCATTTATTAACTTTTTTATTTTTCTGATCATCAGTAAATAAAAAGGAATCAAATGCTCAATAGTGACTGGATTCAAAAGGTATTTCCTGGAATTCTAGTGAGAAACAATGACCAATGGAGATCAACCACGTCTGTTGTGAGATAGTAACTCAGTGAATACAATTGTGAATGATTGCTCAACTTCATGGATTGGTTGAAGTTAGAGATTAACACTGTTGAATGCCGACCGGCTCAGTGGTCTAGATGTTATGCACTCGCGCGCGAAACTGACAGTTCGTGGGTTCCAATTTCGCAAGGCGGGGTCGTAGGTGCGTCTCACAATAGGACGAAACGGCCGTCCAGTGTTTCCAGGTTTTCCATGGTGGTCTAGCTTCAATTGACTCATGCTTTCTACTATGAAAAAGGAAAATATTGAATTACAATTTACTCACTCAATAAATAAAATGTAATGTTGAAAATAATTAAAGTGATTATACTTGGCGTCATCCACTTAATAACAACTCATGCATAACGTTTTTTTAACAACATAAACATTTAACTAATGTTAAAACTATTTTCCAACTCATTTATTTAGCTTTTACATTAGTTTCTATTTACTACTAATTTATCGTATAGTTAAGTAGTTTCTAATCTCATTTTCATATCATTGTTTACTGAGGTTGACATTAATTTGACGGCACTTATGATCCCCTACCACCCAGTTTTTTTCGAAATTTAAGGGTGTGAAAAAATTTTTAGCAATTGGTGATTGGTGAACTTGTTTTTGAAAGTGTGTGCTGGAGTGAAAATGAACAAACATTTTGTCACAGATCATAATTTTTTAATTGGCAATAAATGGTGCAGCTTTGTAATCTGATTAGTTCAAATCGAATTAGCATAAAGTGGACAGAGGCAATTCCAAAAACATCAGAGAATTTTTAGAAGCTTGGCACTCAGGTGAATCAGCAATAAACACATCGAAATCAATCCAATTTATCAACCAATCAAAGAAAATTATGCAGAAACATAGGAACAACAATCAAACCAATAGAAGATACAACCAAAACAAAGAAATAAACAAGGACAGATTTAGGTCAATAAGAATCAATGAACATCGAGGTGCACGGGACAAGCTGTGAATCATATGTGGAGAAAGTCAAACACTTCACTTCTACCCGAAGTTTGTGCTGATGATGTCGTTCAGAAGTACGATGAAAGTTCCATGACCAAACCATCCAGCTCAGAGAAAACACCTACATCAAAAGCATAAAGTGCTTTGATTGGATTTGAGAATTTACATTTTTACATTCCAATTTCATTTACAATAATTAACTATTTCTGACTGTTCCATCTGAAGGGGGTTGTTTGTGGAGATTTTTAGTTTAAATCATGAGCCAATTGAAGCTAGAATACCATGGAAAACCTGGAAGCACTGGACGGCCATTTCGTCCTAATGTGGGACTCGTCACCAGTGCGCATCCACGATCCATCTGAGTTTGATTAAAATTTTAACTTTGGAAAAAAAACAAATCCATTTCATTACCCTGCTATACTGCTGCTGTCAGTAAATGTATATCGGGATAAATTTTTTTTGCATCCATGTAGAAATACAACTAAAGTTGTCAGTTATCGTGACAAGAGCAATCATAATGTGTAGATCATTGAAAGATAATTTGTGAAAAAAAACTGACAGCTGATATTGGTGATTATTGAATTTGAAAGGTAGTCAAATGTTTAATACACCATTAGTAAAGAAATTTTCATCTACGTAATCCCATAAGTTAATTGAACACATAGTTTGCTCTTTCAATAAACGTTATATGTGTGTGTGTAAACATATGAATAAATCATGATGATAAAATAATGAATGAGGCTTGCAGATATCACGCTAACCGTAAAGGATGAGTAAATGAAGCAACCTTTACTCTACCTTAAATTAATAATAAGTTCTGTGAAAGAAGCAAATAATCTTTATAATTCAGTTATTTTGCAAACCGTTATTCTTAATACAAAAAAGTTGTCTAGTTTAGAATTCATTTAGTATTGTTTGTTTGAATCTTCCCATTGATGTGTTAGGACATATGTGGCATATGTGCATATTGTGCGTGTCGCCTCGATATAGCCTTAATTCACAAGCATGGTAAGCAAAGATGGATAATGGCTAGCAGTGGAATCCTGTTTGACACACGTTTTGTCCTATTTGGAACTCGTCAGCTGGATGTACCTGCATCTCAGAGTTGATGTTCACTCTGAGACTCGAAACTAATACCGTTCGCTTCAAACGCCATCGCGTTTACCACTCAGCTACTGAGTCCTGAGATACAGATACATCCAGCTTACGAGTCCCAAATAGGACGAAACAAGCGTACTGCATTCCACTGCTAACCACTATCCATTTTTGCTTCACGCAAGATTGTTACCACGTTTTTTTTGTAAAACCCATTAAAAGCATAAAATATTGTGACCTGTATATTTTTTGTAGTTGACCACTTATTAATGATCACCAAAAGATACTTGTTTCTGAACGCAGTCATGTAAAATGGTGATTGTGTTTGCGAGGTGGGCATAACATGTTTTTTGGGTGTAATGTTAACAACCTGTTTTGTAAGGGCACAACCTTTCCAAATCATGATCTGAATTTTTCGAATGTCATTATTTATAAATGACATTGCAAACGTTATTTATTCTATTTATATATACCCATATATTATGTTTTATACTAATTTTTTTATAGATTTCGCAGTGTATCAACTAGTTTCTATAGAAAAGCTGATGGTATCTTATTAGTATATGATTGTACATCAGAATCTTCATTCATTAGTACAAGAGATTGGATAACAATCATAAAAGTAAATTATATATGTATTTTTTAAATGTAACTAATGAAGTGTTATTACATTGATTAATAAGCAGTATCTAGTTTCATTACTATGGGAGAAGTGATGTTTTAACGTTGATAGTTTACGTTTTCGTTTAGTAATTCTTTCAAAACTATACAGCCATTAAGGTAAAATCATTTTTTATGCGAGTGCTGGATCGTGGATGCACACTGCTAAGGAGACCCATAATAAGACGAAACGGCAGTCAAGCAGTGCTTCCAGGTTTTCTATGGTTGTCTAGATTCAATTGACTCATGATTTCAACTATGAAAATCATTTTTATCATAGATTTAGACTATATTGGTAAAAAATTTAATGTAGGAAGCTGATTTTATCAATAAAATGAATAAATTTAGGTGCTAATTAGTCAAAGGAATTTAAGAATAGTACTTCATCCTATTCGGGACTTTTCAACTGGATGTACCTTCTATTCTAGTGATGATATTTACAGAGAAATATCATTCCACTCGTTTATCTTCAAACGATCAGCTCATTAAAGTAATGAGTTGTTGATTCTAGATAGACATTATCGTGTCCAAGGGGAATGAATTTAATTTTGTGATGATTTGAATCTTTCTGTTATTAGCATATTTAAAGAACAAACTTTTGAGGAAATTATTGACTGAATTAGATATATTAACCTTTATATCTAACAAAAAACTCGAAAGGTTATCAGACAATAATAGTAGATATTTTAATAGTTGAAATCATGAGTTAATTGAAGCTAGACCACCATGGAAAATCTGGAAGCACTGCTTGACAGCCGTTTCGTTCTATTATGGGACTCCTCAGAGGGGGCATCCACGATCCCGACTCGCGAGATTCCAACACAGAACATATCCATAACGCATGGGAACGCATAACACCTAGACCACTGAGCCGGCCGGCATCCAACGGTATTAATGTCTAACGAAATTGAGCAACCATCCACCATTGTCTTCAGTACGTTATTATCTCACAACAGACTTAATTGAACTTCATTGGCCTCACTAGAACTCCACGGAAAACCTATTGGAGACTGTGAGACTGATAGGTCGTGAGTTCGAATCTCATGGGGCGGGGTCTTGGATGGGAACTGCCTGGGTGTCCCACAATAGGACGAAACTGCCACCCAGTGCTTTCAGGTTTTCCATGGTGGCTTAGCTTCAATTGACTCATGATCTCAACTATTAAAATTACTATAATATCCACCAAAACCCCTTCTGATAATAATAGTAGTAACCAAATAATTTACATATTTATGAAAATCAAAAAAATATTAATATCAAAACAAATTTGAAAGCAAAGTGAGTGGTGGAAACACGATAAAAGGAAAATGTCTGTCAGAGAAGGAAATTCAATTAGAAGATCACTGATTGCCACAAATAAAGGTGATTGTTGTTGGATAACATCAAAAATTGACCATAAACTTATGAACTATATTTACCCACTTACTATTCACATCGGTTATTCATGGTCGAAGTAGGACCTGAAACAAGTGCTGATCTATTCAACTGGTCATATCTTACATCAGAATAACAGGAAGAGAGATCAATAAGACTAGTTTGATGACTAGTTTGATTTATACAACACATGTAGTACTGAAATTGCATAATAATTTAGATATTTCAATTCTAACTATTGCAAAACACATCTATGGAATTTCCTTTAAGATCACTTTAAATATTTTGACTCATTTGATATTAATTTCATTAGTTTTCTTTCATTTTAATAACGTAAATCTTGCGTTATCCTGGCTACTTTTATTTTCTCATTATTCAGTAAGTTAGTTACAACGTAGAACTTCGTACGTACGTACATCAGTTCGAGTTGACATACCACATTAACACACAGATCCACTTGTCGATTCAAATCCAATGGTGATAGAAGTAGTAAGAGTATAAGCAGTAATCCGAAAGATTAGGGTTTGAAGATGTTATTCAAGGAGCATCATCCAGTGAAATAAATTCGGAAAGAGAAAAAAGAAAGGGAAATGAAGAATTCAGAAGATTAAAATTTGGCAGAACACAAAGAGTGGATGCACCTTCACCATTGCAAACGATTTTGAGTCATGTTATTCAAGGTCTCTAACCATCGATTGCTATCATCTCGCGAGTCTCAACCACGTAGTCTATACTTACCAACATGACTCAGTCCACTTGTCAGTGACTTCATGGATTTGGGCGACGTTGTGATCTGGCCTTTCCTAGCTTTCTTCCAACCTTTTCCTACACCATAAATTATTGTACATTGGGGCAATAGGTGGTTGTGCATACGTAACACGTGTCTCAGCCATCTCAACTGGTGAATTTTCACTAGATAGCTAGGCATTACTTTAAAACATTTACCACTTATAAACGCAAATTTCTAGTCCCTTAAATATAAAAATACGATCGAATGTTAAACACATGAAAACTAGGTAAAAGTTAGAATCCCACCATGTTACCCTAATATATATAGTGCCCGCAGTGTCGAACCACCTAGACTGGTGGCCACATTGCAACTTGATCGATAGCATTCGATCAGCACTAAGGACCTGACACGCATGAGATTGATCACCACCCAGTGATCAATCAATTGTGATTAGATCTCAGTCCTACAGGAGGTCGGTCGCGGCCCGAATAGCTCAGTGGTAACGTCTCTGACTGTGAAGCTGAGTGACGCGGGATCGAATCCGCCAGGGAGCATCAGTTCCCTCAAGATTACAGGTACAACTTGCTGACGAGTGCCAAGTAGCACGAAACCCGGGTCCAGGGTTTCCTGTTGACCACCTCCAACCACCATGTTACCCTAACACAATCGAATGTTAAACACATGAAAACTAGGTAAAAGTTAGAATCCCATTATGTTTGATCTGGCAAGATGAAAGTTTGCTTACTTTTGCTTTACAATCGGCAATTATTACTTTTTGTCTTGAGATAGTTAAAATGTCTTTGGATAAAAATTTTACAGGGAGTCATAATTTATGGTTTTACAATCATACATATTTACTTTTCATTCAATTCTTAGGAGAATGCTGGCAAACAAATACCTATCGCTATTATTGGAAATAAAAAAGATTTAAAAGAGCAGAAAGAATGGCAAGGAAATAAATGTGTTAGTTATGCAATAGGCAGTAAACTGGCTCAGGTGAGTGTTAAACTAATTAATAATTACGAATTAACTAAAGTTAAACCTTTTAATCATCAGATTTCGACTCAGTAGTTTAAAGGTAACTTTTTCACTATAATACCTGGTGACCGACGATTGATTCATACGCCATATGTTCCCTCAGGATATTGGAGTCAATGTACACGATCGGTTTGAAATCAGGGTTTTCCAACTCCCCTAGATGGACTTATCGTGTCCACCAACCCGGTTAAAGCGTCGGACATTCGCTTTTTCTTTTCTCAATTTCATAAACAACACCACCACGAGAAGGCAGTGAGTAGGACCTCCCTGTCAAAGGCTATATACGCGTGGCCATGTGACAGCATTTCGAGAGAGTGGACGTACTCTCCTCACTCTCGGCCGTACCAGGGCATTTAGGGGCAAGTTTCTTTTTCTCGAAATATCACTATAACCTTATTTTCTTGGGATCACGTCCATTGTTAATAACAATACGAATAGTTCATCAAAAATGATGAAATTATTATTCATACGATCACAAATATGTTATATTAAGTACCGTTTAATAAGAAGTGGAATACTATTATCTAATTTAAGTCAAGAAGCATAATATATATAATTATTAAACATTTTTAGGTGATGAACAACAGTGAAATCCTATTTGGAACTCGTCAGATAAATATTTAAAATCTCAGCGTGTTAATTTACATTATGCATATATTAACCCTAAAACTCGAAGTAGTTCACTTGATTAGATCAATCACCAAATGTATGAGAATTAATTACCCCTTGATCAAAATTCTCAACATTACATTGCCGAAAACATCATTTGAGAACTATTTATATCACATTGATTCATTCTACAAACGAATTATCGGCAGAGTTGGATAGAGGTTAACAGTGTAATCCAGGACGAGCGTTTTGTCTTATCTGGGACTCGACGTACTTGCATCCCAGGGTTGATATTCACTCTAAGATGCGAAGCAGATGGTATTAGGTTCGATCTCAGGAATGAACATTAACTCTGGCATTCATATACATACAGCTGACGAGTCTCAAATGAAACGAAATGCGTGTCGTAATTTCCACCACTAGCCACCATTCAACTCTGTATATAATGCTTGTGACTTAATGGAAATATAGAAGCAATCCGCACAGAATACACGCATCCCAAAAGAAACTTATCGAACACAATTCTAAACATTAGGGAGAAGATTCAAACACCCAGTACAAATATATTAAAATCCATTTTCAGTCTATCAAACTAGGTAAATATTGTAACAAATTTCATTTATAGAAAAAAAAACCCAAAAAGATTATCAACTGTAAGTAGTCACTGACTAGAATGTAACAATATGAAATGAACGAACTCGATTTTTTTTGTTTCAACTGTAATCATTTATAATCTTTCATAGCATTAATTGATTGTGAAGGTTACCGATGGGCTCTTTAATATACTTTTACACTTTTGAAATATCCTAATTTTAAATTATAGTTATCAGAGTGTATTGATATTTCTGCTTTAAGTGAGCTGGCGCGAGACCGGTAGATCCTGGGTTCGAGTCCCGCGAGTGCGGAATCGTGGATGCGCACTGCTGAGGAGTCCCATAATAAGACGAAACGGCCATCCAGTGCTTCCAGGTTTTCCATGGTTGTCTAGACTCAATGGACTCACGATTTCAACTATGAAAACAAACTAATAAATTTTACCTAATGAGCTACATATATACAACTTACAAGTATTACACAAGTCATAAGTTACTTCTAAAATTTTCAATTAACCACCATCAATATAAGTGACTTAACAGAGGTATACAGCAATTCAAGAATGATGCCAGTTTAGACCAATCGATCGAGTTCAACTTATCAAAAACTAGGTCATAATGAAGCATCTGGATAATCTAGAACCTAGCACCTAGTAGTATATTTTTCATCCAATCGCTTTAACGAGGATAAATATTTTCATTCAATCAACCTTCAAATGACTATCTTGAAGGTGGTATAAAAGTTATGATTTGAAAATTGTAAAAAATACAGAGTGATAAATTACTGGAACTTTAGGAAAAAATTGGATCAGTACAAACCGCCATTACTTAAGAGTGAAAATCTGTATGAGTCGTTACTAAGCGCTTTCATGTAGCTAAGGTTATTGATCATGGATGATAGATAAATTAGTTTTAAAAATAAGCCTAGCGGTTGATCTAGCTACAAAGCTTATCACCATCACGTTTAAAATAGAGATTCCAAGGACACATTTTACAATTAACGCTAACACTGATGGATTAATGATTGATGAAAATGAGCAAGTACACGTCAAGTGACTCAATTAATATTTATTTGTTCATTTTTTTATTCCTAGTTAGTTGATTTCTTTGTTAACTAAAACCACTTTCCGTGCCAACTGACAAGTGAAGGGAAGTCTTTGGAATACTAGGCCTAATTTCTATGATTGTTTCTACATCAACTACTTTTGTTTCATGAGTTGTAGTTTGTAATCAAGTTACATAGATTTATTGTAGTATTCTTGACAATTTAATAGCGATTATGTATTATCTATTCTTTTTGAACAATAATTCTAGGAGATTGGAGCACTTTTCTTCGAAACAAGTGCATTGACTGGTGAAAATGTAAATGAATGCTTAGAAGCACTAGCAAGGTAAGGAAATATATTTTTAAAAGTTGAGTAGCATAAGAACAAGGAACGTAGCAGAATAGGGTAAATTCATTTATTTCGTAGATTCTTATCAACTGTTTACAACCTGAAAGCAATAATAATTGTTATTTATGACCAATGTACGTACTTGATGTCATATTCAGTCGCGGAGATAAGAGAGTTATTAGGTGTAGGAGAGATTTGAAAGTGACCAACTTGGTCTCGTGTGCAGTTATAGGGATGAGGGCTGATATCAAATCACGGCTGCCCACACCGTGGAAGGGTATTTCTTTAGGGACCAGAAAAAGAAGTTGGATTAGTGTTGATCTTAACGACCTGAGAGTGTGACCGCAGTGTCCAAGGGACAACTGCTTGACGCCAGTCAGGCACAACCTTTTTGTGGGTAGTTTTTGTGTTAGCTCCGTTCTTCAAAGGAACTTACGGGCGGAGACGGAAATCTGTAGGATAAGGCGAGGTGTTTATTTTTAGGGTCGACCTTTTCCAACTCCACCCCTCCTTGTGGGAAGGCAGCATCACTGTTATGCTGATTGTCTGAAGGAAACACCTTACTGCCGTCACACCTCTGTATAGTCAGCAGTACGACTTCGCCTTCGAACCTTAGTTTGCTGCTTTTAGTCTAACCACTCTTCAACTGACCTGTCTGGCATGGTAGGACCTTGAGAAACGCATGTCCCAGCCAGAATAGCTCGATTGGTTCATCACGATAGGCAAGCCCGACCACCATGTCAAGGTAGCAGCAACTGTCGGGTGATGTCATATTATTGAAGATTGGTAAAATAACGTCAGTAAGTACGGAAGAACTGTAAAACGATGAAGTGGAAGAACATTTATATGTTACCAAATGTGAAAATTCTATAAGAAAAATTTTAAAACCTTATGTACTCAAAAAGAAACAATTGTAAATTCTGCGTTATCCTGGCTACTTTTATTTTCTCATTATTCAGTAAGTTAGTTACAGCGTAGAACTTCGTACGTACGTACATCAGCTCGAGTTGACATACCACATTAACACACAGATCCACTTGTCGATTCAAATCCAATGGTGATAGAAGTAGTAAGAGTATAAGCAGTAATCCGAAAGATTAGGGTTTGAAGATGTTATTCAAGGAGCATCATCCAGTGAAATAAATTCGGAAAGAGAAAAAAGAAAGGGAAATGAAGAATTCAGAAGATTAAAATTTGGCAGAACACAAAGAGTGGATGCACCTTCACCATTGCAAACGATTTTGAGTCATGTTATTCAAGGTCTCTAACCATCGATTGCTATCATCTCGCGAGTCTCAACCACGTAGTCTATACTTACCAACATGACTCAGTCCACTTGTCAGTGACTTCATGGATTTGGGCGACGTTGTGATCTGGCCTTTCCTAGCTTTCTTCCAACCTTTTCCTACACCATAAATTATTGTACATTGGGGCAATAGGTGGTTGTGCATACGTAACACGTGTCTCAGCCATCTCAACTGATGAAGTTTCACTACTCCATCAATCGATTTGCCATCCTTACCTAGTACCCGTTTCCTAACGACTGCACTATTCATTTACTCAGTAACTTAAATCATAGTCACAACAACAAATTTCATTTTCAATCTTGAATTTTCCTGAGCTTTACTCACCTTACTGTTAATTTGTCAAATTTTATGATTATTACGTAACCTCGACATCAATATTCATCCTTCGGAAATCTGTCTCCATGTATTACTAAAATTTCTCCTCAAGGATTTCTAGTTAGTAACATAAATATTCGTCCGCTTCAGAGTTCTATAGTTCATCCATACTTATTGTCGTCAATCTAATAATTTTCATTAATGTGATACCTAGTATGTACATCGGTTTGTTTTTTTGAATCTTCCTATCGATGTGTTAGGACTGCAACTGGTCAGTCTCTAATTGGCATATGTGCATACCCCATCGCACAAGCAAGTGGTTATCAGGACTCAGTGGCCGAGTGGATAACGCGATGGTGTTTGAAGCGAAAGGTACTGAGTTCGAGTCCCAGAGTGAACATTAACTCTGAGATGCAGGTACATCCAGTTGACGAATCCGAAACGCGCGTCCTGGATTCCACTACTAGCCACTATCCATCTTTGCTTACCATGCTTGTGAATTATTACTAATGTTTTCAGGTTGTAATTAGCTGACGATAATCCACAGAATAAATGAATTTACTTCATTCTACCACGTTCGCTGTCCTTGTCTTAGTCAAGTTTATTAATAAGAAAAATTACGTGCATTGAAAATTATGATGATTCTGTATATTAATCAATGAAATGTCTAGTTTTAGTTGTCATTTCTTATTGACAAGGAGTTTCCAGTTATTGTAACCGTTATTTCAATTAATGGTATACCGTTCTTTTCAAATCACTTGGCTAAAGTGAGACAGTTCCGACTATTAGACTTATTGAGTGACATTTTCTGCGATACATCGTTGACATACATAAGGCTAAATAATTAATAGTCACTCAAGTGAATGCACATTCCCGAATCATGTCTTATTTGACCACTGGAAATCCAAGGTATTTTGCTAGGTGGAATTCACTAAAATAAACAGACGATCTAGTTGATACCTTAATGAACATAGATCACTGATGCATTTGGCAATTTATATGATCAAGTCTACAAGAGGCGATTAAAATGACCACAAATGAAGACCGTTCCTTATCCGAAGACTGTTTTCGAATTCCTCCAACTGCAGCGTTTATATGATTATATCGATCAATTTTATTCTACTTCTGCATAGTAGATGAGACTAACTTTTTAAAAACACACCGATGGTAGAATTAACAAACATTATGACCGAACTCAGTTTTGAATGGTAAAGTGAAACCATCCACAGAATCCTCTGTAAAAATGTGATTTATTTGTCCAGTGTATTCAAGATTTACGATATATTCCAGTTCAAATCCTTTCCTAAGTTGGTTACATATTCCGAACACACTATTGATACATATATTTAATCCATAAATTTACCTTAAATAGGCACCTTTTACAGTTTCTGACAATAGCTGAATGGATATTGCAGAGATCGATTTAACCGGTATGTTTATTCGCCACAAATTAGTCAAGCTTTCGCTGAGACATATAGAGATCCTGGTAGGGTTGAGTGCGCACCACTAACGATTTCTATACTAGGACGAAACATCTGTCCGGTATTCTCCAGTCTTCAGTGATATATCAATTGGTTTTCGGAATTATCGTTCGACAATATGTAGTTCAAAGTACAAGAATGAAATGTCATTTACGATTACTGTATTAAATGAAGAAAACCAACTGAAAAAGATTTACTTTTAAACAAAGAATACAATCAAGCATAATATATGTCATGAATAGACTAATCTCACAATAATCTGGTAGTTTGCCTTAAAGTAACTAAAAATATAAAACTGTTTTTTTTTGGTAATTTACTTAGTATTGTTTGTTTGGATTTTCTCATTGATGTTTTTAGGACTGCAACTGATCAGTCTCTAATTGGCATATGTGCATACTGTGCGTATTGCCTCGATATAGCCTAAATTCACAAGCATGGTAAGCAAAGATGAATAGTGGCTAGCAATGGAATCCAGTTTGACGCCTGTTTCATCCTATTTGGGACTCGTCAGCTGGATGTACCTGCATCTCAGAGTTGATGTTGGAGACTGACCAGTTGCAGTCCTAAAACATCAATGGGAAGATTCAAACAAAACAATACTAAGTGAATTTAAATTTCACCCCATTGCACAAGCAAGTGGTTATCAGGACTCAGTGGCCGAGTGGATAACGCGATGGCGTTTGGAGCGAAAGTTACTGGGTTGGAGACCCAGAGTGAACATCAACTCTGAGATGCAGGTACATCCAGTTGACGAGTCCGAAACGCGCGTCCTGGATTCCACTACTAGCCACTATCCATCTTTGCTTACCATGTTTTTTTGTGTAAAATGTGTTTAGCTGAGCAGTTTTTACAAAATATTTACTTTTACATTGATGTATACTTCCTTACAGATTACTATGTGCTCAAGAAGATTATAATTTACGATGTCCACAATTGAAATTATCATCAAATGATACTCCACGACAAACGAATCCCAAATGTTGTGTACGATGAAAGATATAGATGGAACTAACAATTCCAAAAATAGTTTAGATGGATATCACTTATTTAAAAGCCAATCAACATTTTTATACTTCAAAGAATTTGAGAATAAAACACATATCAAGTCATGCTGAAATGTTACGACGGATAATTTTCCGTTAAATTTTTAATAAAATATTGGGAAGTCAGTCATGTGTTTTCCATAACAGTGGAGGAGCTGATGCAGTGTTGGAGATCTACAATTGTGATTAATAAAGAAATCTTTAAGCCTGCGTATTAACGAGGAGAGTATGATACTAATGTGGATTCATTCTATGTAGATATTACTAACTCACTAACCAAACATGAACATTAGCTTCTGGGGGAACGGCAAAATAAAATTGAAAACGGATAGAAATATTTACTGATGGATGACTATTAGAATATCGTATTAAAGAGTGAATACAAAAGACAAGTATACTCGGTTTACTGGTTTGATTATCTAAGTATATTACTTCACTCCGAAACCTACCAACTTCAACTACAATTAGGGTACCACACAGAAGATACATATACCACTAAATGAATACTCGAAACTCGTAGCATGTCACTATCACCAGGATGAAGAGTGCTTAAATCCGTTTCCAAATTACAAATAACCAATAACTGAAGGGTACGTAGAGTTAAAGAACGTACAACAGACACTAGATAAATCAGCTGATACAGATTTACTTTGAGATGATGAAAGTGTTATCTCTAAGAGCATGTCAATGACAAAGTTAAACAAGAATGGGGAGAGTGGACAGCCCTGACGAACACCACTTCAGGTAACCAATTCTGATGACAGTTCGCCATAGGCTCTAACTCGACCAGTTGTGTTCGAGTAGAGAGCCTTAATGAGGTACTCAGTTCAGTGACAAACACTGCCATAGAACTCCACGATCAACGGAGTCAAATGACGCCTTAAGGTCAAGAAATACTACTATTGTGGGACGTCTGAATGCATGTCTATGTTCTAGGACCTGACGTAGAGTGAATATCTGGTCTATACAACCACATCCAGGTCGAAAACCAACCTGGTTTTCTCTAGTCTGCTCTTCACAAGCTTTTGTTAGGCGTCCAAGTATTATTGAAGCTAATATTTTAGACACTATATTAGTCAAACTGATCCCTCTGTGATTGTCACAAGAGGACTTTTGTCCCTTCTTATAGACTGGCACAATCAGTGATTGGGACCAGTCAGATGGAATTACGTCCAGTTCCCAGATTCTACCTAAGACCTCAGTCAATCTCGTTGCTAGTACTGGACCACCATCCTTAAAAATCTCAGGAGTAAACCCGTCAGGGCCTGCTGCTCTCAGCGAACATTGAACAAGTAACAACTTACAGAACCCCTAAATAGGTGGATACTAAAAATAACTGGCAAACAAAAAAGTATATATATATGTATATATAACCAACAAATTTACAAATATATCTTCTCCATAACCATAAATACATTTTCAACAAGAGCTCTTCCAAGGTGTCTAATATTTATTATTGAAAATTAATAGTTGTCAAATCAAATTTCCCATTAGTAACATTTCGACAGACAGTCTCAATAGTTACGAATTGAAAGAGCTCACTAAATAATACTTAAAGTAAAACAATGGGGTAAAAACAGGGAACAAATTAAATATTACACAAAAAGTGACTGATTGTGGAAAGTAAGAAGAAAATTAGATAATGATATAATATAAAGATGGTAAATTAAGATTTGGAAATAGATACAGAAACAGGTTGAGGAGTTGGACATATACGATATGCTTGATTAATTGGTAAACGACGATATAATGAAATACAATTCAACATCCATTCAATACTTATAACAGGTACACCATATATTCGATAGAGCTCTGAAATATGAACAGGGATAAATGTATTGATCAATAAAATGTGACTTACATAAAAACGTCGTGACTAAATATTTAAAAGTAATCGATGAAATTGGTTTACACTATTGGTTATAGGGTTGTGGAGATTGTTTCATTTTGTTTATATCACGGATAGAAATAAGTTAAACAACCGTTGCCACCAAATGCCCTGGTACGGTCGAGAGTGGGGAGAGTCCGCTCTCCCTCTTAAATGGTCACGCGTATATAGCCTTTCTCAGGGAATTCATACTCACTGCTTTCACATGGCGGGGGTGTTGTTTACAAAATTGAGAGGACGAAAAGCGAATGTTTCGCGCTTTAACCGGGTTGGTGGATGTGGAGTGTCTACCTAAGGGAGTTTGAAAACCCTGATTCCAAACCAATGGTGTAGATGGGTTCCAGTATCCTGAGGGAACAAATGGTGTATGAATCAATCGTTGGTCCCCGGCTACTATGGGACTGCATCTCTTCACGATGCTCCACTGCCTTGTGGATTAGACTTTTAGGTCAAAGGCTCCGGATGTAAACCCCTACGAAAACCACCTGTTTCAGTTTGGGCACCTGAGCAGTATCACAGCCCTCACACAAATCAAAGTAGATTTGTGCGGCGCACATGTATTTGGTGCTTCCTTGTACCAATATTTATGTGTTTAACTAAATAAATAAATAATAAAAATAAACAACCGTTAAAAACGTCGAAGTACTGGACGACCATTTGGTCAGACAACAATTAGGTATATTGACCTCGTGTCATAAAAAGAAGTGGTAAATGAATGAGCTCATAACGCTCATATTATTCAGTATGTTCAAGAATCAATTTTAATAAGTTCGTTGGTATTAATGATAACAGTCAATTACTTTTGGTGGAGAAAGTAGGACTGTATTCATTTGTTCTATCAGAAATTCATGGTCAAAACTTTTCTTTCATGGATTTCTTGAACAAAAATGTACACTAATAACCTTACAGTAATCTGATTAAAACAGGTAGCTTCAATCAAAAGTACCTTTTCAAGAATCGCATACATGAATTTTCATAATTAAGCACCAGTATCGGATTTTAACAGATCCAAACTTAATTTTATTAGATACTATACCTACTTCATCCATGGTAAAAGAACATGGAAAAGAAAGTTTTTTCGAAGATCACGGGTAAAGTATGAAATGTTCAGCATATGCTCGCTGGTTCAACCTTTGAGAAAGTAACCATTACGTTAATAAAGTGTTTGATGGGATGACTCTAATTAGACAAAGCAGTAGATTGACCATAATTCTGTTGTTCAAAGAAAAGATACCACTAAGTCTTAATATTGTCTCTACAGTTAATTATTGATATATGAAGGATTCGTGAGTGCACAGTTATTGCAACAGTCATGGCAAAATACATGCTATAGTTTCAGTGTGAAAAATTCCATTCCAAACACTTGCCAATAGTCAGACTAATACTCCTAAAAACATACCTTGACACTCTTGAAGATTGAATTCAGAAGAATCTTTGTCTGTAAGAATTACAGCACGTGGTTTCCGAACATCTGTCCCTTTACTTCCCATAGATTCAGCTAATTTATTGGTTGCATCCATTAATTCCGAAGGTTTTTCGAAAACTCGTGTAGCACCTCCATCTAATGCCAACTGACAAAAATCAGCCACTTGTAGAGCCCCCAAATTACGATATGCACAGAGCCATAGTTCAGAAAATGGACGGCGATCACTAGACTCAGACTCAGTCAATCGGTTGGAGGAATTTCGGAAAGGTAACCTATCAAGAGATTGAGGAATGGCTGGGACACCAAGTCTACCACGTCTAGGACCCTCATGACAATCGCCACAAACCGTATCTCCTTCAATCTCATATGGTGACTATTATTCATTAAACAGAAAATATAAACGTTAAAAAATAAGCAATTTAAATAATAAAAGTAATTAGAAAATCTAGAATTGCTAACAGCACTTAAGACCACTGTATTCATAACCGATTTTCCTCTTCAATTTCTTTTATTCCTCCTACTTCAACTATCAACTCTAAACTTCCTCCTCCAGTGCTACCATGGCCAATGATTCTAGTACGCAAAATGCTGTCCAAGATCTACTGAAACCTCGCTCCAAACTACACATTGAAGCCTTCAACGTACACACCCTATGTCAAACCGACCAGCATGTTTCCTTGGCTAAGACCCTAGAATCTCGAACCATTGATGTATATTGTTTCTCCGAAACGCGCATACAGGATCCTAGTGTGGTCATTCATTTAACCTCACCTCGCCAAAATGGACAGCCGACGAGATACACCATCCGTGTATCTGGCGATCCGATGGCTAGTTCTCGTTTACTGGCGGGTGTAGGCATAGAACTAAGTAGGAGGGCAGAACAAGGACTTTTAGAATGGATCTCTGTTATTAGGCACCTATGTGATGTTTGGTTAAACGGCTCCGTAACAACTCGGAGGGATAGAGACACATGTCATTGCCTTTCGCCGTTTCTGCCTATGCTCCCGCTACTGCAGCCTGGATCAAATGAAAGATATTTATTTATTTATTAATCACATACATATTGGTACAAAAGGCACCGGATACATATGCGCCACACAAAATAATGAGAATAGGAGGAGAAACTGGGAAGATGCGTAATGTAAAAGAAGGGAAAAAAAGGAGAAGAGTAATGATAAGCTAAACACTCAGACATGGTACTTGTAGCAGGTGACTTCAATAATCAGGTAGGTAGCTTCAACCAAATAGAAAGACATTTAGGTGGGTATTTTAGTATTTCGGCTCAGCAAACAGATAATAGTGGTCGTCTGCTGCAACTGTCCTCAGACAATAATTTGTTTTTAGTAAGCACTAATTATTAGCATAAGGAAAGACGTCATTTACCATGGCGATCCCATGCACAAAATCAACGATGGACTCAAATAGACCATATTGCCATTAGTCATCGTTGCAAGGGATCGATCAGTCAGTCAGTCAGCGACAACGTAGGACCAGGCACATATATGCATCGGTCCAAGTTGCCATACCTCGTTAGCACAACAAGATCACCGGATTCATAGAAGTTAATTTAGTGGTGGTAGTATATAAAGAAAGGTTGTATAGAAGGATATAGTAAAGGAAGGAAAAAAAGTTATGAAGCAATTTTAATCTCAAGGTTTAAGGGAAGATAAAGAGTGCATACACCTACACCATTGTGATTGATTCTGAGCCATGTCACCCAGAGTCTCCAACCATTTATTACGATAGTCACGCGGACCAGAACCAGGTAGTCTGCAGCTGCCAACATGGCTCAGACTAGAAGTTAGTGA